AATTATAGCCCACCTATCTCTCGGGGCGTCTGCGAAGCGGAAGTTTGTTTAGGATATTTTGGCATTGTGTGTGCAAGCTCATGGATGCAGCTGCTGCCTGCTGCCTGCTGCCACATCTCCCCTTCATATACGTACGAGTGCATACGGCTCTCTTCCCCCGCCCAACGGCTCTTCTATCCGTTCTGAATCCATGATGCGAATTATTCAAATATCTCTCCTTTGGAGTTGCGCTCCTTATCCCCACATGCGGGTGGGCTCCACGGGCTCCACTACACGGCTCTAGCATACAAATTAGATGCTGCGATAATCGACTATTCAGGTTGAGTGCCTCCAGGTCCCTCCGTCAGTCAGTCAGACGAGGACTTACCTGTCGTTCTTCGTTCTCTCTCCCTTTCTCTTCCTGGAGCAGGTTTCCTTTGCTGTTCTTAAGCACTTTCAAAGTGAATTTTTCAGTCCCAAATAATCCCTTCTTTGATATGTTTTTCCTTTATCTGCAAGAGAAAGAACAGTTTTAGTTTTTGGTAAACTAAGTTCGAAATAACATAAAACTAATGTTAATCCCGGTCTCACGGCAAACGTGTGTGTGTGTGTGTGTGTGTACAATGTTCTACCTGTATGTGTGCGTGTGCGACTGACTTGAAGTCAAGATTTTTGGCGACATGAGAGAATGACTAACGAGAAAATGAAATTAAAAAATCATGAGAAAACCTGCAGACTTGATTTTATTATTTTAGTGTTTTGTATTCAAATATGCAGATTCGATTTGTTTTAAATTTAATAAATTCCTAGCTATTTTTCTATATATTTCCACTGCATAAACCCAATCATAGAAGTGCCCTCGGGTTCCGTGTCTAGACCGGCGGCAGTTGTCCCAACTTTTCTATGCCAAATGCTGCCACCAGGAAAGAGAAAGACCAGAAACAGACCCAGAAAGAGAGAGGTAGAGAACATAAAAAACTTGTGCAACGCAATAAAAAAAAAATACCGCACAGAAACAGAAACTGAAATCAAAAATCAACAGTGGAAAACTTGGAAGCCAACCCCAGAGAGACAGGATTCAGAATACAGGCAGCAGCAGTAGTGGTACCGAAACCCAAACCCAAAAACCCACCCAGACAACTAGACCAACACCCACCCGAAAGCCACCCATACAACTAGACCAAGCCAAACCATTTGGGGGTGGCGTTTTTGGCTATTTGCCTTTGCTGCGCCTGTGGTGGCAGCAGCAGCGGGGAAGAAAGGAGCGTCGTCTCGTCTGGTGCTGCTGCTGCTGCTGGATCCCAGACATGGCGGACGACGAGCCTAATGGGATAAACTACGTGTAGCATTACGCGGATATCCCTTTAAATACGTTACGCACACATACACAAACACTGCTGCTCCAGACATTCTCATTTGATACGTTTTTTAGTTTTTAATAGAACGCAAAACTTGGTTTTCCATGAGTTTCGAGTAATATAATTTGAAATTCTACTACATAGAAAAGCGTTGACTCAAAATAACCCCACACAAAACGAGAACAAACATCCACAAAACAGTCTCCACAGACACACACACACACAATCACACATACAAAAACACCCACAATCAAAGCGCCAGCCTGCTCCGCAAGAGGGTGGAACTTTGTTTTGCCGGCGAAAATGCCGCAAATAACGGCAGTCACAAATTGATGCGCGTTTTTACTTACCGGCAAACTTTCGAGTTATCAGACAATATGGTACACTTTTTGACTTTGTTTTAGTATTTGTTAAATATTTCTCTTATTAATTTTGGCTTCAATTGCCAACAATAATTAATTTCTCCCAGTATTTTGGGCACTCCAATAGCACAGACACATAGACACACCCACACACAAACGCGCGCGAGCACACTTCAATGTCCGTTAGAAAAAAGCGCCGCATACGCGACCGGCGAACATGCGAAATTACCGCTATCAATTTGTATGCGATATAAAGCGCACGTTTATTATTTTATCGAATATGAATATTTATATTTTTTTTAAATTCATTTGTTGATGATATTCAGTTAAAAATTCGACACTATTTTACTGTTGTTCGCTTCCTTGTCCGGACACGTTCAACGTTCACTCATCTTCATTCAAATACGAAAGTAAACACTTTTCAACTTATTTTCTCAATTTTCTCGACGCGCTCAACACGCGCGTACCCGCTCGCGCTTGTCCGAATTTTGTTTTTGTCCAGTGTGACCTGCGGATTTGTCGATAAGATATACGGTCTGACCCTCACAAATATACCAAAATATACCGTCTCGATTCAAAATATACCGTGGATATACTGTCGAATTATTCAAGTTGCTCGTTTTTGATATGCCGTCGAATATTACTTGGCTAGATAGAATCCTCAGCATGCCCACATAGTTTTATCCTGTTGATGAATACATTTTCTACAAGATGAACTACTTTTAAGTACTCCCATTTATTCTATTTTTACTGAAACAAGGCTTAAACAAAAGAGCTCAACAAAAAAACAGTCGCAATGTTGTCACGTCAATGTTGCTGGTACTTGACGACTTGTTGCTGATCAACTAGAGTATGGACATTGTATACCCTATTTCGTTAATATAGAAGATCCTGTTTTCCAAACTGTTTTTAAAACGTACGTATTAAAGAAATTGTGTTGTTGTTGTTGATATGTTTTAGACGTATTCATGCATTTGATTATTTCCTGAATATACATATCCTGATCCCGATCTGCTAAGTATCGTTGTGATAGCATTAAAACAGAGACTTAATAGTTTTTGCTATCTTTGGAGCCTGGGAGGACAAAATTTTCTTCAATTCTATAATACCTACTTCCCCAGGGTATGCAGATCCGCACCATGTTGAGGGATAAAGCTGCTTGTTTTCTCGGCACATGAGTCAGGCCCATGCAACTGAATGTTGCCAGCAACATTGCTGTGCCCGATTAATACCCGATTCAAAGAGTGCGAAAAAGAGAGAAAAGAGCTAAACCAGCCGAGTGGTGCGCGCCATATAGAAATTGTTTGAAAGTGAATGAGCAACAGGGATTTAAATGCAATCTATTGGAATAAATGACACACGTAGGTACGATTCGTGAGCGAAAATTCAAAAACCTGCGTATGGAATTTTCTGTACCCCTTGTTCTTAAATACACCTGTAAGAATTTACTTTAATAATTTAATGAAATTAAAAAAAAAAAAAAAAAAACAATTCGCTTGGCCACATGCTGCTAGTAAACTGTCCAAAAGGTGTGTTAGCAGAACAAGTTGCTGCTGAGTTCCACCTTGTTGTTCTAATATTCCTTGCGACGCCAGCACCGAAATAGCACCCAGAAATAACCTAGCGCGTTTTCTGAAAAACCACTGGAGCGGTATTAAACAGCTGATCAGGCAAAAGGATAAAAACCCGTCACTAAAAAACGCGCAATTGCCGGAAAACTCTTTGAAATATCCAATTCCAGCCGCAGAATGGCGGCGGAACTGCAGCATAAGAAGCGCCACGCCTGCGTGATCGTGCTGGGCGACATTGGCCGCAGTCCACGTATGCAATACCATGCCCAGAGCCTGCTAGAAGACAACTACAATGTTGATATAATCGGTTATCTGGAGACGCGTCCCCTGGAGGCATTGAGTGCATGCAAAATTCACGAACTGTCGGCCGTGCCAGTGACGAATTTGACGCCCCAGCTGAAGCTACTCTTTAAGGCCTTCTGGCAGACGCTCAGCCTGCTGATGGCTTTGATCTCTATACGACGGCCCAACTTTTTACTCGTCCAAAATCCGCCCGGCATTCCCACCCTGATCGTTTGCTATTTGTACTGCGCTGTGACCCGAACCAAATTGGCTATTGACTGGCATAATTACACGTACACGGTTCTGGCAATGGGCACGGCCGGCGGCGAGCAGAGCCGGCTTATTCGTCTGGTCAAGCGGCTGGAGCGCTACTTTGGCTCCAAGGCTCACACACACTTCTGTGTGACGCGGGCCATGCAGGACGATCTGCAGCGCAACTGGAACATTGGGTGAGGACCGCAGCAGCTAATTTGGGGCGCCTGACAACCAATAAACACTGGGTTTGTTCTCCTTGCAGGCCCGTCACCGTTTTGTACGACCGTGCGCCCACGCAATTCCACCCGATTGATCTGCCCCTGAAGCACGAGCTGTTCATGAAGCTCTCCAAGGACTATCCGCAATTTATGCCGCAGTGCTATGCCGACCTCAAGCAGTCCGGCGTGCTGGAGGCGACAGCTCTCACCCAGAAGCTGGCCAATGGCAGTGTCCTGTATAAGCCACAGCGACAGGCCATACTCGTCTCGAGCACCAGTTGGACGCCCGACGAGGACTTTGGGTTACTCCTAAAGGCCTTGCAGGCGTACGAGAAGACAGCTTTAGCCGAGCCACAGATCTATCCCGCTCTGCTGTGCGTCATCACTGGAAAGGGTCCGCAAAAGGAGCAGTACGAGGCGGAGATAGCCAAAATGCACTGGCAAAAGGTCTCAATAGTCACACCCTGGCTGGAAATCGAGGACTATCCCAGCATACTGGCCAGTGCGGATTTGGGCGTGTGCCTGCACTGGAGCACCAGCGGTCTGGATTTGCCCATGAAGGTGGTGGACATGTTTGGCAGCGGCCTGCCCGTCTGTGCGTACAATTTTAAATGGTAAGTCACCTTTAATCAAGTACTAGAGCCCTCCTCTGTACACTCCCCTTCTGTTATAGCCTGGATGAACTGGTCAAGCATGGAGAGAATGGCTTCGTCTTCAGCGACCATCACGAGCTGGCCGAACAGCTGCGCATCTGGTTCGAAAACTTTCCCAACAATCCCAGCATCCAGGAGACCCAGTCGCGTTTCGGACGCAGCCTGCAGCAGTTCCAGGAGCTGCGCTGGCGGGAAAGTTGGCGCCTGAATGCGGCACCCATACTCGAGGCATTTCTTTAAGAAGTTTTTAGCATTTTATTTATAAAAAACAAATGAAACTTATGACAGATTAGAGGATTAAGGCAGACTGTTTAATTGCTTATTGGTTGAAGATTATAAAGAATTTCTAGAAACGTGATCGACATAGAGGGCAGTTGGTGGCTCCACTCGCTAGGTATTGGGAAAAGCAATCATTATGCATGGCATGCTGACACGGGAAATGTTTCATATTTTTTTTGGTCAGCGGATCCAAGCAGATAGTGCACTTATCTTCGGGCAAACTTGGATTTACGATATGGTTGCACAGCAGGCAACTGCGGCGAAGGAAACGAAATTCCTGGAAGCAGTCGTTATGCAAGGCGTGGCCGCATTGCATTCGATGCATATTACTGCTTGACATTTCAATCTGGCAAAGGGGGCACAAGTCGCCAGGCTGGCTAAAATAATGCACAAATAAAATGGTGCATTTAAAAATGGTTCTTTGAATGCTATAGGTGCTCTTACCTCTCGCGGACACGCTGGTTTTCAAAGTTGTTTTTTGGTCTGCTGCCATTTTTTGCGCCTTTCTCCTCATTACGACGCCTCTGGTGCGGCGGTTCAGTCTGATAAGTTGGTTGGCTCATGTATACAGCGAAACCAGCGGTAACCAGAACCGTAACGATTCCAATTATAAGATTTAAATAAACCATTTTGACAAAGAAAAAGCAAACGCACAGCGCAGCGCCGATGAGGGCAGCTAAGGGCAGGCCGAAGATTTCCTTGAAATCCCCAAAAAATAAATAAAAAACACCTGTCTACAGTAAGACCGTCCCTGGAAAATCCTCAAATGCCACACTCTTTTATTGGAAGAAGAATCGATACAATGCATGGGTTTTTAATATTATTTGTGATTAAAATTGTTTTTAAGCTGTTATTTTGTTGTATTTAGACAGTAATTATAATATTGACGAAACTAAAAGGAAAAATGATCTAAATATACACGTTTTTAATCTTGATAGTACAATATTCTACTTGACGGGTTTGTTTTAAATACTTGCTGTTATTGGATTTTAAAAAGGCTTTAACGACAAACGTTTAGCAAACAAACAAAAAACGAAAGAGAGTAATCGCTCCTATTGCTCAATTTTGATATTCCGTAGAATAATGCTGGCCCTGCCCGTTGATGAATAAATTTTCTAAAGCCATCGATAGTGCCATCGATGATGGTCTTGCAGCCCTAGGTGACAACGGTCACACCAATTTTCCGTTCTGGGGTTAAATTTTTGTAAAAAAAAAAACCTTTTTTAGCTTGCATTTGTGTGTGAAAACTGAACTGGTGTGAATAATTGCCGAGAAATATTGGAGAACTGTTTGGTCCCAGCGTGTGATATTGATTTGTGTGTGTGCGCTGTTTGGGGTGCAACGGCAAGCGTTTCGCCGCCGCCTTCTCTCCCCCTCCAACAAAGAGCCTTAACGATTTTTAGAAAGTAATTAAATAGTATTAGCAGCCGATACAGTAAGATTGATATGGCGGAACGCGAGCGTAGCATACACGAAATGCTGAAAGATACGCCCTCCATGAACGATAGCTGCGGGGCAGTTCATACCGGCACAGAGGGTGGCAGCAGCATGGTTGTCGGGATCGGGCTATGCGGCAGCGTCAGTAGCCACAGCATTGGAGTCGTCGCTGGAGGTGGAGGCGGGGCCGGTGTCAGTGTCGGTGGTCCCTTCAATGCCCCCAACAGCTTGCCGTTGCGAAATCATTCAGGTAAGAGTACCCCGCAACCATAGAAGCTCATTTAGTATATCGTATTGATCGATTCAGCACCCACCACACCAATGTCACCGACCAGTCCGACCTGTTCGGGAAATGGGATGATACTGACATCTGCAGATGGCAGCGGCAGCCTGATACGCACAAGTGCTTCCAAGATCGATAGCATCAAGAACTGGAGCATATCCACATACAAGTGTACGCGCCAGATAATGCTCGAGAAGCTGGGCAAGTCGCAGCGCACTGTCGACTCCGAGCTGGAGGCGCAAATCGAACAGCTACGGGAGACGCAACGAAAGTATTTATCAATCTTACGCCTAACGAGAGCATTTAGCTCGCATTTCCAGCATGTGGTCGTCTCACAGCATGCCCTGGCCGATTCGTTTGCCGATCTGGCGCAAAAGAATCCCGAACTGCAGAAGGAGTTCACCTGCAACGCAGAAACGCAACGAAATCTAACAAAAAACGGCGAACTGCTGCTCAATGCATTAAACTTTTTCATTTCGTCGGTCAACACGCTGTGCAACAAGACCATCGATGATACCCTACTGACGATACGACAATACGAAACGGCTAGGTATGAATCATAATTTTATTTATGCTTTTGGAAGCAGACTCTAACACAGGCAGGTCTCTCTCTCTACTTTAGGATCGAATTTGATGCCTATCGCATGGATTTGGAGAACTCCAAGCCGGAGATAACACAGTCGGCAACCGCCTTGGAAGAAACCCAACGAAGTTATGCCCAACACAAGGATCAGTACGAGAAACTGCGCTCCGATGTGGCTGTCAAAATGCAATTTCTCGACGAGAATCGCGTAAGTTTTACGATCTTCGATTAGCGGAATGTTCGTTTATGAAATCAAATTCTAACCACAGATCAAAGTGATGCACAAGCAACTGATTCTGTTGCACAATGCCATTGCTGCGTACTTTTCGGGAAATGCCATGGCACTGGAAAGCACTCTGAAGCAATTCAATATCAAGGCGAGCAAAGACACCTTTTTCCCCCGCCGACTAAATGATAGCTTATGTTCCTCTTTTTAAGCAGCTTAAGTCACCGAATGCCGTCACCGGATCCTGGCTGGAACAGTAGTATCCACTCGAAACACACGATTCAGACATGCCACAAGAGGAACAACCAGCGCCATTCCTTTTCACTTGCTGAACGAGCACGCTCTCTAAAAAAAAAAAGTTTAATTGCATGGAAGGATCGTAATAATATTTAATTCCTAACTTTAAGTCGAATTCCTAAACCGTAAGATGAAAGTGGTGATGTGACTGTATGTTATATATTTTTCCAACTGCTTTCCACACTGTATGTATTGTATGTGCCCCCCGTATGCCCCTGTATCTCCCATACTAACCGAAATAGTTCCTGGTTTATGTTTCAAAATTGGTTATTGCTTTAAATTGAGGACTGATTGCGCTTAGACCAAAAAGAAAAGCAATCGGTGCAATGGTATATTTTTTGTTCTAGATATATCCATCTACCATGTATATCCATGTATAAATTATTTAAAATCGAATAACATTCTAGAGCTTGATTAATTTGTATTCCCTGTTCACTAGTCAACGTATTATTTACACTAAAAGAAAATCCATATATATATATATATATATAAATAAAAACTATTTAATTACACAAAAATGGCCAGACCAGTTGTCTCTTAGTTCTTTTCCAGCTTCAATTCGCTCAGTTTCTCATTGAGGGCTGTTTCCTCGTCCTCTTCCGCTTTGAACATTTCCTGAAATTAAGATCGCATTGAAATTCACTGGAATTAAGGGGTCTGTCTATTGGCTACGCCTTACCGGATCGTAGATGACTTTTATAATGAGGGAACAGCTGGGGCAGGTGGCCACCTCCTCGCCCTCGATTAGCTCCTCCTGCCAGGGGCATTGATTATCAAATTATTATTGTATTGGGTTGTGTTTTTGTTGTATGTTGCGCATACGAGGCGGTTACCTTGGATATCTGAAATCGATCGCCGCAGGGACAGGGATAGTAGTACATCTCCTCCTCCTCGTCGAATTCGAAATCCTCGATTTCCACCTCGTCGTGGTAGATGCTCATCGCGTCAGAGTCGCCAATGCAATTGATTCATAGTCTGGGAAATTTCCGCCCGCTTGAACAGAAATCCACGCCAAACAAACAGGCACACGTTGTGGCCGCGGAGCTGCCAACTTGGTCCAATGAACAGCTGATCGAGCGTCCCTTAGTTCCCCACAAATTGCTGTATTTTTATTTCCTCGCCGGTTGAAATAGTGAAAATGTCCAGCAAAAAGTTTAGCGACATTAATCTGTACGATCTGCTTGGAATATCCATCGAGGCCGAGCAGAATGAAATACGGAAAGCGTATCGAAAGCGCGCCCTTGACTGCCATCCGGACAAGAATCCCGACAATCCGCAGGCGGCGGAACGCTTCCATGAATTGTCCAAGGCCCTGGGTATCCTCACAGATGACACCGCCCGAGCTGCCTACGACAAGGTGCTCAGGGCAAAAAAGGCCGCCGAGCTGCGGAGCAAACAGTTGGACAGTAAACGCCAGAAACTGAAGCAAGAGCTGGAGGAGCGCGAACTAGCGGCCCTGCACAAGCTCCATTCCAGCCAACCGTACAGCACCGTGCGCAAGAGTGATGAGGACGTGCTGCAGGAGCAAATCGAGCGTCTGCGCCGTGAAGGATCCAAGCTGCTGGAGGAGGAGCAGCAGGCCATGAAGGAGCAGCTGCAACGCACCTATGCGGAGAAGCACAAGCCGCAGCAGGCCACATTCGACTCCGCCCAGCACCGCATCAAGATCAAGTGGAAGACCGATAAGGGTGACTATAGCCAAGAGAAGTTGCTAAAGTTTCTCAAGAAATACGGCGAGGTGGTGGCCCTCGTGATGAATACCAAAAGAGGCGGACGCGCCATGGTGGAGCTGACTACGCGCGAAGCCTGCGACATGATCCTGGCCTATGAGAAGGGCGACTCCTCCAATCCTCTGCACTTTGAGTGGGTAACACCGCCGGCCGAGGAGAAGCGGAGTGCTTCGACAGCAGCCAGCAACAATTCTCCGCTGGACTATGAGGACTTGGTTATGCGCAAGCTTCGACAGGCCGAAGAGCGCAAGCGTTTAATAGCAGAAATGATGAAGGATGAGCAGGCCAACGAATAACCGCTAATTCAACTCAATTTTATTTAAGTTTATTATAAAATACGTTGTTAAACTTAAATCACTGTAATTAGACTAATTTTAGTTGTAGATCAAACACAACAAGTTGACAGTTCTTAAATCACAGTAATTAGGCTAAATTTAGGTGCAAACCAAATGCAACAAGTTTGCAGTCTGGTTTCAGCTGAAGAACAGCTGTTAAGATTTTGTTGATTGCAAAATGCGAAAAAATGCCACGAAAGAGAAATAAATCAAGTTTTTATATTAATTGAAAGCGTTTACAGTAATTTCTCACCATACGTTAAGATGGAGAAGCGCCAGAGGGAGCTGGAGTCCCTGGTCAGCACACAGAAAGAGCAGCTTAGTCGCTACGAGAAGCGACTCAAAGGTAAATGAGTCAACAATTGCCAAACATGAAGGTAAATCAATGGGACTTCTTTTCTTGCAGATGTGGTTACGGCCTACAAGGGTCTGATGAAGGAAAAGGAAGCCCTGGAAACGAGTTTGGCTGCCCATGCAGAGGCCACAGGTGCAGGATCACCCGCCAAGGATGCGGATCCTGCAAATGTAAATGGCACTGCCAGTACAGACTCCACCGATGGGGCAGAGGGTGCTTCTCCCTCGGCCGAGGGACAGCTGCAAACTCAGATCATCACGTTGATGAACTCGCTGGCCACCCTGTCGGCGGAAAAGTCTCGAATGGAAGCCTCCTTCCAGGCGGACAAGAAGCAGCTGCGCAGCCAGATTGCCCAAAAGGAGCAAAGCATACAGGAGCTGCATGCCAAGGCCAAGGAACAGGCCGCCAAGGCCAAGAGCGATGTCGATGAGGTCAAAGCCAGGTGGATCATAGAGCGGCAAGAGCGCGAAAAGGAGACCAATAACCAAATGCTGATGATTCGCGAGCTCCAGAAGCTCTACGCAGACGAAAGGCACCTCAAGGACAACATCGAGATGCAGCTGAACAACTTTAAGACGCAGTTCGCCAGCAACGAGGCCGAGAACAGTCGCCTTCGCGATCTGCAGGCGCAGCTCAAGGAGGCCAAGAATCAGCTACGGCAATTTCAGGCCAAGGCCGAACATGCAGCCGTTGCCAACACCACGGATAACGCCTCCCTGCTGCACCAGGTGCGTCAGGAGATGCAGCAACTTAAGGAACAGCATGCGGTGGCCATTAACCAGGAGCAGCGGAGGGTTCTGCGGGCCGAGGAGCAGAGCCGCAAACAGGCGGCTCTACACGAAGGTCGTGTGGCCAATTTGGAGGCACGCTTGGCCGAGCTGAGCACCACTGTGGGCAGCTATGACCGACTGCGTCAGCAGGATCAAGACAGCATCCATGCACTCAAGCAGCAGCTGCAGGACTTAGAGCAGGCCCAATCCCGCCCGGCCCCCCCTCTGAGGGTTCTCAGTGATGATGTGGATACTGCCACATTGGTGGATGAAATCGTACGCCTGAAGAAGCTGCTCACCACTGCCAATGCCCGCTCTACCAATCCGATCGATCTCAATGAGATTCTCTCCCTGGGCACCCATGCAACGTCGTCGTCATCGTCCGAAAGTCATGTGCAATGCGAGCAGCAGCTCCACGGTGTACAGAAAATGCTGGAGGCTGGCAAACAGCAGCGCCAGCTGCTCGAACAAAAAATCCAGCTGCAACAGTCGCACATCCAGACGCTGCAGGAGAAGGTGCAAGTGCTCAACCGAAACATTGACGAGTCGGAGCAGGAGCTCAAGCAGCAGGGGGACAAGCTGAGGCAGGCCCTGAAGAACGAGCGCACCAAATGGCAGGAGGCCAAGGCAGAGCTCGAGAACGAGACGCGCTGCAAGCTCAACGAGCTGGAGCAGCTGCTGCAGAAGCAGCGACAGCGATCCCTGCAGCTTCTCGACGAGAAGGAGCAGGAGATCAAGACGCTGCAGACCTCATTTGAGGTATTTCATACAGCCGGTGGTAGCGGCGCCTGCAGTGCTTTGCCCGCTCCCTCTCTAGACACGGCTGCCGAGTCCTATAACTACTCCTCCGATGGCGACAGCGTGGAGGTGGAGAGCGAGCAACGGGAACGCGATCGCAGGCTGCAGGTGAAATCCAAGAAATTATCCCTAGGCGAGAACTGCCACATGCTGCACTATGCCAACGAGCTGGCCCGCAAGGACATCGAAATCACAGCGCTCCGAAAGGGTAAATATTCTGCGGAATCCACGCTGCGAAAGGCCATACAGGATAAGGTTACTTCGCAGCAGGAGATGCATGAGAAGATTGAATGCCTGGAGGAGCAGGTGGACAGGTGAGAACAGTATTCTGTCCTTTGGCCAGGACTTCTTTTAAGCTACTTTTTCTTTGCCCAGACTCGAACGTTGCAAGACACGCGAGGGCGCCAATCTGGAGTATCTGAAGAACGTCATCATCAGCTATATTGTGACGAAGGATGCCGATGGCAAGCGACACATGCTGAATGCCATCTCGGCGGTGCTACAGTTCACCGGCACCGAGATGCAGGCCATCAATGCTGCATTCCAAAAGAAATAACATTCGTAATTGTACAACAGAAAAGTTCATTATTAAACCACAAATTTAGCTAAAGCCAGCAACGGGGAATTTTTCCAAATGTGGCGCCACCACACCGGGAAACATGGCCAAGAACTTGAAGCGACTGCCCATTTGCTTGGGATCCGTCAGCATCTCGTAGCCAGAGCGTATAATGGCCTCGTTCTCTGGCAGAGCATTGGCCAGGAGCTGTTCCAATCTGGCCTCGCCCTGCATGCGGCTGAGAAAGAGCCCCTGCTCGATGGGACCACAGCAGTGTAGGTGTCCCCTTGTCTCGGCCGTGCTCTTCACCAGCTTAAAGTCCACGTCGGCAGTGAGATCTGCTGTGCCCGGCTCCAGCAGTGGCTCGTGCAGGGCATGTTGCTTGAAGGCACGAAATGTGTCCGTTTTCTCGCCAAAGTGTCCATAGTCCATGATCAGGCCAATGCCGCCATCCCGTTCAAGGCGTTCGGCCAGCAGACCCACCTGTCGTTCCGTCTCTAGCGAGTACTCCAGGGTCTGGCGTGTCTCGCCGGGCATTGGGTGAAATACCCGCGACACTGGGGTCTGTGACTTGGACAGGACATAATGAAAGTTTGCCGCCTCTGGCTCCGACTTAGGCGCCACATCGATGAGCACCTCCTGCCACTGGCCATTGGCCAGCTGCAGCTTGTGCACGGGCAGAGCATCAAAGAATTCGTGGGCCAGCACTAAAGAGAATCCCTGAGGGACATCCTCCAGGCGACGGTGCCAGTAGGCCTTGGTCCCAGTGGCCGTTGTGCCCACCTGATAGTGCGGCAGTTGAGCCTCCTCCGGCAGCGTTTCGTGGGTGTAGCAGAAGCGCTGTGCCTGTGCCTTGCTCAAGAACGGACTGACCTCCACCATGTGCATGGAGAACTCGGCCCCCAGCTTGAATTTGGTGAGGATTTTGAGGACATCACGGGCCAGGGTGCCCCTGCCAGGTCCCAGCTCCACCAGCTGAAAAGGCGATGGACTGCCCATCTTGCGCCATTCAGCTACCAGCCATATTCCAACCAGCTGCAAATGAACCCAAATCAAGGAATATGCTTTCTGTTCTGGAGAATGGGCTCACCTCTCCAAAGATCTGCGATATTTCTGGCGATGTAATGAAGTCGCCCTCACGGCCAAACACATCGCGGTTCATGTAGTAGCCTGCCTGGGGATTGGTCAGCACCTCCCTCATGTATTCGGCGACCGTGATGGGTCCAGTGGCCAGAATCTTTGCTCTCAGCTGCTTGGCCAGGCCCCCATTGCCCGTGCCGGTAGCTGCGGGTACAGCATCTGCAGTCTTTTCAGGCTCCGCCTTCGGAGCACTTGTGGCACCCAAATTCGGGCGACGCACAGACTTATAACTGAAGCATCGTCTGCTGCCAATCCTCAAAGCTTCGCGTAACATTTCGGAGCAGCGCAACAAAAACAAAGTTCCCTCCGAAAGGGCGAGGGAGCTGCCAACTCATTTGCAGATCAGCTGATTGCCCAAAAAGACGTTACTTTTTCTGTGCAGGGAATTTATTCCACATCACATTCTTTGCATTTTGCACCTTCACAAAATCTTAAATGAAATAAAGCGACCAAACAAAGCAGCGATAGCTCAAGTATCCTCAGAACACCTTGATGCCAGCGACCACCTTCTCGTTGTCGTAGATCTCCTTGGCGTAGCACAGATTGGGGAAATCGAAGGCGGCACCGTAGCGGTTCTTGCATCCCGTGGTGGCCTTCTCTCCCGGAGTGTACACGGGTTGGCCGATGATGTTCGATGTGGCAAAATTACAGGTGAGCACAAAGTGGTTGTAGAAGTCGCGGGAGAAGCGCACAGCAGCACATCCCACGTGGGTGTTCTTCTCGGCCACGGCAATGGTGAACTTGGCCACATTCTTGTTGGGCAGCTCCTCGGGGAAGTTGGCAAGAATCTCGGGGGTGGCATTCGAACGCTCGGCAAACCAGTTCTCGATCTGCTCCTTCAAGATCTCCGCATCCGTGTACTCGGACTCAGCTCCGCTGTAGCTGAAGATGACATTGTTCTGGCCGGCATAGGCAAAGCGCTCCGTGCTGCGGCACTTGTCGGTTATGGACTCGCAGGTCCTCACGTTGTACGAGGCGAGGTGGGCCAGTTCCTCGCACCAGGACATCTTGGCCATGCGCACCGCCTTGGGCAGGTTCTCAATGGTACCACCAGCCACGTTGTTCCGCAGTTCGTTGAAGAGCGTGAGGATGAGCTTGCGATGGGGTTCGATTTTGATTTCGCGCACATCCTTGGGGCAATCAACACTGAAGTTCTAAGAGGGGAGGGATTGATGGATTGGAGGGTGTACTAACTGGATCTAGCGTCTGGCACTTACTCCTTTATTATTGCAGGCCACGTGCTTGTCCATGCAGGTGGGCAGTGCACAGTAGTCGACGGCGATGGCAGCTCCTAGGATCGCAGCAAGCACAATGAGATAAGTCTTCATATTGATGTCCGCTGTTGGATTCCAACTGAAGTCCCACCAGCGGAGTGCTTCCTATTTATAGGAAGACCACAAACCTCTCCTTGGACAGGCTAATGGGCAGCTGTTTCTTGTATGCAGAATGTTTCTCTATTCTGTTTTCCAGCGAATGTAACAAATAGTTATGACAATTGGATTGGCTATTATCTGGATGCGTCAGTACCACCAGTGCCGCTCCGCTATAAAAGCTGGCCATTCAGTCTTGGTCTCTTTCCAAGACCAAGCAATTCAAATGGCCTTTACCAAGATAGTTGCGCTCCTGCTTCTCGCCTGCGTTTTGTACGACTCTGCCGCCTTTGGGGTCGACTACTGCGCTCTGCCCACATGTCTGGACAAGCACGTGGCCTGCCACAAACATTAATGGTTAATAATGGACATGAAAAACATCGGCAATTGGCATCCGAATCTCAGACCGAATGACTTTGGCGGCTATCGGCCAGGTTTGCCGCCTCTTATCTATGGGGAGGATAAGAAGCACAATGTCTATGAGATGAACAGGTTGGTGAACTACAGGAATATGAAGGACTTTTGCGAGAAACTGCTGACATGACTCTAGTAAGTTTTTGAGCCCCCCCCTACCCCAATCATCTTCCCATCTTTTGCAATCATAATGTTGATGAGTGTGTAAACAGGCCGCACCTTTGAATAGTTTTGAATAGCCAAAAACATGAAGAAAGCTACTAATAATGCTGTTGGTTTTGTTTGTGATTTACAGAAATGCCATTGAGGAGTCAGTCGCACACGCACACACACTCACACACCCAGGCACAAACACAGCCGCCACCGCAGACAGGCAGCGAGCAGGCATTCATTTTCGTATTGGTCAACGTAACGAAATGGCGGTAACAACAGGCACCACCACAACCAGCCCCTCGCCAAGTCCGCGACGCAGGCATAGTACGCGCGAGCAACTGCATCAGATTGTGGCTGGAGGCCTGTCGGCGGCCATAACCCGTTCCACCTGCCAACCTCTGGACGTGCTAAAGATACGCTTTCAGCTGCAGGTAGAGCCGCTGGGCAAGAGCCAGTCCACGGGCACACGACAGGCATCCAAATACATCTCCATTACACAGGCGGTGAAGACGATATACCACGAGGAGGGAGTGCTGGCCTTCTGGAAGGGCCACAATCCCGCCCAGGTGCTGTCCATTATGTACGGGATCTGTCAGACAATCAGACGCACTACCTCAAGGATCACCAGCACTTGTCGAATTTCCTGTGCGGCGCCGCTGCTGGCGGTGCTGCGGTTATCATCCCACGCCGCTGGATGTTATACGAACGCGTCTGATTGCCCAGGACACCAGCAAGGGCTATAGGAATGCCACGCGTGCCGTTTCCGCCATTGTGCACCAGGAGGGACCACGCGGCATGAACCGTGGGCTCTCGTCGGCCCTGCTACAGATTGCCCCACTGATGGGCACCAACTTTATGGCGTATCGCCTGTTCTGTTCAGCGACTGGGCTTGTGTCTTCTTCGAGGTGGGGGATCGCAGCAAGCTGCCCACCTGGACGCTCCTCGCACTGGGCGCCTCATCGGGTATGCTGTCCAAGACGATTGTGTATCCCTTCGATCTGATCAAGAAACGCCTGCAGATCCAGGGCCCCCGTTGCCGAATTGGATTCACCTCCTCAAAATAACTTTGACTTGGAAGATCACAAGGACAGGGATTACTTTGTGATGTTGTACGATCCTGCCTGCTACCACTGGCCCATGCAGTTGAAAATGCTGCGGAAACTTTCCCTTCTGCTGGCCAACGAAACTATCTCTGTGATGATCATCAATAAGTCGCACAATTATTTGGGCGTGGTATTCAACAAGTTTTCGAAGGCGGTCAACTGTCATGGGGCCACAATATTCAGCACTTCACGTCTGGATGGCTGGGACTTTAAGATGCGCCCGAGACAGGACAGTACACGCGAATATCTGCGCTACATTGCCCAGAACAGGCAGCCAGAGTTGTTGGGCTACGATGCCAATGGCGAGCCCAAAGCACCCGAGGCGGCATTGGCTTACATTGAATGTCTATTTGCTGAAAGCAGTTGACGGATTACCATTGCCATAAAGTCTATGTTTATCTATAGATTCTAGTATGTATATTCAAAATTTAACTGGATTGTTGGCATCTCTGGGCTGGACGTGTATCATGACTTTGATAGCACCGCCATGGCCATAGCGGGAGGTCTCGAAGGCCTTCGCCGTCTCGGTGATGTCAAAGTGATGTGTTACCAGACGCTTGACATTCACTTTACCGGATGCCACCAGAGCCAGAGCGGCCGAGTAGCTGTAAGCGCATAATAAAACTCAATTTATAATGTGGAAAAAATGGCATCATAGCACTCACTCGTTGCAGTAGCGGAAGACGCCACGTATGTCGACCTCTCGTGACAGGGCATTGATCAAGGGCAGCTTGATCTCCGGTGCTCCCATACCCACAATAACGACAACACCGCCGGAACGTGTAGCCTGCACAAAAGAGGGTCAGAGAGTTACTTTCATCCACAGCAAAACCCTTTCATTGAGAGCTTACGAAGATTGCCAGGCGAGCACTGCTCTCTGCCCCACAACAGTCGACGGCCTTGTCAGGGGCCCCGCTCATGGTACAATGGACTTTTTTGACAATATCCTCGGCACTCTGATTCCTATCCAGCAGCAGGGTGTGGGTGGCGCCCAGCTCTTTGGCCACATCCAGACGCTGCTGCACCAAATCTGTGATCAAAATCTCAGAAGCTCCCAAGGCTTGAGCGACCTAGGTGAGGGAAAATATTAAATACAAGTCCACTTAATAAAACTAATGGGTTTCCTACCAGCAGAGTGACCAGACCGATTGGTCCGGCGCCCAGGATCAGGACCTTGGAGCCCAGACCAACTTCGGCCCGACGACAGGCGTGAACACCCACCGAGAGTGGTTCCAGCAGGGCGCCCTCCTCCATGCTGACATGATCCGGGAGTTTGAAGCAAAAGTCCGCCGCATGCTTGTAGAAGCGTGTAAGGTTGCCATCGTACGGGGGCGTGGCACAGAACACCATGTCGGCACACAGGTTGTACTTTCCCCGCTTGCAGTGGTCGCAGTAGCGACAGGGAACGCCCGGTTCGATGGCCACACGATCGCCCTCAGCCAAATGCTTTACGGACTTTCCCACCTTCGCCACTACGCCCGCAGCCTCATGTCCGATGATCATGGGCTTGGTCAGCACAAAGTCGCCTATGCGTCCAGCAGTGAGATAGTGCACATCGGAACCGCAGATCCCAACACTGTCCATGGCCAGGAGAACCTCTGCGGGGGCAACAAATAAATGGACTTGATTATTAGGCGATCATTTCCAACCTAAATACTTGCATACCATCGCTGGCTATTTCCGGAATGGGACGTTGTTCCTGCCGGCAGTAAAGAAAATTCAATAATCTACGAGACTAGCCTTAGTCTGCCATTCCTCTTACCAAACGCAAGTCCTCAATGCCATGAAGAACAGCAGTCAAGTTATCCGTTGCCATCTTTTCTGTAAATTTGTCGTCTCTGTTGCTGTCCCTCGTTCGACAGCACTCTGTGGGCTCTGATGGTGAATTGTGAACCGAACGCGGTATTCCGAGACATTTTACACTCTCCCCTGGCGCCGGCGTGCTGCTCAGAGAAGCAATTACCTTAGTTGCTCTACAGTCGTGTGCATACGAATAGCAACAGTTGACAAACCATTTTCTAGCAAGCATCTCTATAAAGATTAGTGTACAAAATATGCCTTGGTTCCGCGAATATGACGTTTCTTTAAGATCAATTTTTAAATTTGAAAATATCAGTATCAGTATCAAATTTGACAATATTCTAAAAAAATGTAGCACCCTATTTAAATGTTTTCGATTGTCATTGCGCAGAAGCTTTTGTTAGTTTAGGCAGACTACAGGTAACATCCAGTAAAAGGTCCTGGAGTAAAGAACAGAGTACATCGGGGGTATTTATTATGCATTTTATGCAATATATTGTCGCGTCGTTTCCAGTTTAAAGTTTGGTAAATGTCTCGATCCGCCTCTACGTTTATTATATTGGTATATAACTGTATTGTATTTATTTGCTCTCTCTCTCTCTCTTTCTTTCTCTCTCATGAGGAAACCTGACAGCACAGCTGTCTTTGATTACCCGTTGATTGCTTGACATTCTACTAGGAAGCGGGTAGCGACTTCTCTCTCTCTCTCTCTCTGGCTCGCCCACTCTCACTGTTTTTGATACCCTTGCAGAGGGTATTATTATTTGAATGGGGAGTTTAATACACCTTTTTCAAATGGGGAGGAAAAGGCCAAGACAAGGTATTCGCGCATAAGTAGACTGCTCTGTCGAGAATTGAGATTCTTCTCGGTCCCAAGAAACCAAAAACAATAAATACTTCTTATAGCCTACTGACATTAGGCTTTGCTAACTGCAAGATGGCCTTTAAGGGAAAACATGTGGTGAGAGCGAAAGATATATATGCCTCAGCTATGCTTTTCAGTTGAGCAGGTAACGGAGCTGTGGCAGAGATTCTATTTTTAGATAATTAATACTCTATAATTATCGATTTTTATGCTATATACATAGATCAATTTTTGCTGGCTGGCTGGGTGTGTAGCCAAATATTTGCTCAGTTCCTGGACTGATAGCCGGCAGGTATAATGTCATATGACTATCAGCTAAGTTCGCTGCCGTATAAACAATGGATATGATATGCTAGGGTATCAAAGCGCCGGGGCTGGTCAAAAAACCTGGCATTGCTCCTTTGTGGAAGTGTACCTCTAATATGTCGTTTGTTGATTGTGAAAATAATGCAAATATTCAAAACATCTGGTTTATTGGGCTTTGGCTTGCTAAACAGTTTTTAGTGGCTGTATTTCTCCGGGAGCTAATATATTCATTTCAATAAGTATTTGTTTGATATTCGGGTTCCGTTTTTTACTTAACATATAGAATTTCTATTTTAAAAACGTTTACTTATATGTATATTTATTCGTGTATACGTGTGCCGTTTACTATATATTCTTGTTTTTTTTTGTATGTAGAAATAAAAAATTGTTTGCTTAAAACTAAGAAAAAGTTTCCATCACCTCAACTGCGCAGTTAATTTGTTTTGGTTGTGGTTTCTCTATTATTTGTAGATGTGTGTTTTTTTTTAAGATAAATGCATTGTTCTGTAAATGCAATGAGAGTTTATAAATATTTTAGATTTGGCTTTGAGTTTTGAAAGTAAAGAAATGCTGTTTTAGTTAACGGTTTTTTTCGGCCATAACCTTGCAAATTTTTCGGAAACAGATATGGATGGAATCCGATTACTACCAAAGGATATTACTTATTGGGCGACAGACATTTTTTACTTTCCACGAGAGGTCTACAAATTTTTAAAGAAATTGGCAAAATTTAACATTTTGTGTCAGGTAGATCCACCCTATCGACACGAATTAAAAATCATGGGAAAGGTCGTAGTATTATCTTTTCAATTCATTAAATTTGTGGATTGTGGGGTTGCAGATGCCACCAAAAAAATAATGAAAGGGCGCAAAGGCATTTTTAGAATTTAAAAAGAGATTTTGGGGGTATTGCTAAATCTAAGTATAACAAAGTGATTTACCTATATACCTAATTTTTGTCTCGCAGAAAGTACATTCAAAGGTTTTCATTTTATCGCCCAGGGTAATCTTTCTATATCATTATAAAGATAATATATCGACTCTGTAATTATATTGTTTTTGTACTAAAAATAGTAACTTAATTCGAAAAAGCGCTGCTTTTTAATGGGGGTGGGGAAATTAGTTTACAGTTCGTTAAACACGAGATAATAGTAGTTATAGTTATTGTTAGTAAATTTTGTAAATCAATTAACACCTGTTCAGAATGACACTAACCTTTTTTTTGAGCAATTCATTCGGAAAACAATTAATTATATTCTATATGGGAGATTATTGTTGATTTGCAAGGCTACATGGCACCGAAAACTTGAGAGGTTGTTGTTTGTTTCTGTGCGAGTGTTAAATGTTTTTCTAGTAACTTAAATGCTAGTCTCTATAGGGCTTGGATTATGTTTGGTTTAGCTTTGATATCTATGGGGTATGTGGTGTATATACCTATATATTCCTGTTCTCTAAAGCTGCAATTTCATACAAGTAAAAGGAACAAATTTGGCCAAAGGAAACTTAAGTTTGTGTCTCGTACGAGTAGATTTTCAGAGATATATCATTTCTTTTTACGTTTTTTATATCACACTCATGGCCGAAATATCGAAACAGCCGACGCTGGTCCAGTAAATCCTATAAATTAAACCGTTTACTGGCACCCCTCATTCGACGATTTCCCCCTCTACATGGATGTAACGTGCAACCACGATGTAGGCGAGATGGTCCTCTCAGCTTGGAGCGGCACGCTGTCAACTTTCCGGCTACTGGCTCGTCGGCCACGAGTGTGGTGTTCTTATGTATTTTGCTCCTAAGCTGAGGCCTACCCTATTATTATTTTACATTTAATGCGTGTCACTAAGCCATTTGAAGCCGGACGGAAAGCACAACACCTAAAACGAAAGACAATAACTGCACTGGTGAACGGACAACGAAAAGAATTCCTCCGCTGTTCGTGAGGAGGGATGTTCGCCCACCCTACCTTGGTCTTGTTGTGCCCGATAACACATGATTTTGCTACAAGACCCCTTATATTATGGGGGACCTACAGGGGCTTGCTGCAGGAGATCAAACGCTATAGCTTCCACTCACACATTATAAACATTTATTCATTGCTTATGACTAAAATTCTTGGTCCCTTGTAATTAAGTTTATTCATTAGTTTCTCCCTTCCCCGAGTGTTGGCTACGACCAAAGACCATACAATACCATACGCCATAGAACAGCTTTTTGGTCGCTCATGCAACATCTTGGTATTGTATAGTCTTTGCTACGACTTAATTTTAAATAAAATAGAGTGAAGTAATGTAAATAAGTAAAAAGCTTAGATTAGATATGTTTGAGAACAGATAATTTGAATAGGAATGAAAACAAAAGAAATGTAAGAAATTTTAATCTGAGCATTAGCTGGGCATATCGATCCATCAAAAGGGAAGGTGTAATGCGCGAGAGACGTAGCGAAAAGAATCAAGAGGAGAGCAATTATTTACGACTTTCTGATGCCCTCTCTTTTCATCCCACTAATTGGGTGTGCTCCCGTGACGAACCTTCAGAGCATTCGCCACACAAAAAAAATGGAAGATAATTTATTTGTTTAATTAAAACGACTTACAGGAACCTCCATCGACGAAGCGCTTCCGACTTGGGTTTCTGAAAAGTTTAAAAAAAAGAACACACACAATTCGCACACACAAAAAAAGTGAAACGACGACCGAGTGGCTCAGGCAGGTCGAGCTAACTTTACTGTGAATTTCTATCTCTCTTCTTCTCGTCCCTCACGCCCCTTCCGCATTCCTCTGCGCTCAGTTGCGCATTCCTCTTTGCGGATCACCGGCGCTTATCGAGCACCGGTAAGTGGGGGCTCGCCCTCAGCGGCAAAGTTAGGTGGAGAAAAAGGGAAAGGGAGAAGCCAAGAAGCCTAAATGAAGAGGGACAAAGAAATAACCCGGGTAAAAATGCTTAGAGCATATGACTGTGTTACGTTAATTTTTTTTTCTTATTCTTGCTATTTTTTTGTTTCTTTTTGGACCAGGCTAGATCTCTGTGACAATTTCAACTTCGATTAGCCACTAACTGCCGAACACTTTTTCCTCTCTGCCTCCTCCCCTACGCACGGGGTATGGACGCATACGCGGAGCGATGAAACAAGCCGACGCGGCTGCCGTCTGCCGGGCACTAGTTGGCCTCTCCTCTCTGGCTCGCCGAATTGCTCCAAGGCGACGTCCTCTGGCTCTGGCGAATTTCTATGACCTGCAGCTGGTTGTCGTGGAAGACGAGCCTCCTCCAATTTCCAACCTAGGGAAATTTGCACACACAGAACACCTTTATACACTTCACTCGGCTGTTTTTCTTTTCAACTTACCCAAACGGGTGCCCCCTCGAAAGGGTGTATTGCAAGGGTATCACTATAAAACGCCTCACTGCCTGAGATATATTTCCTTGTCGTTATTTAATTTAAAAGGTTTCTCTCTCTCTTTTTTTTTTTTTAATATTTAAAAATCCGGCTGCCACTTTAGAAAATGAACACATCCAATGCTGTCGACCAGGCTTGGAATGCTGCAATGGCGTCCAATGGCATATATTTGTAGCCTCTCTTCTTGTCGAACTTCGACTTCGAACCCGCTCTCCTTTCGACGAGGAAGTCTGACCTGGCTCTGACCCACTCTCTGATCCCAGGCCCTCTTTGCCGACTGTTAAAGAGAATCTCTCTTGCCTCTCGTTAGATGGTGCCTAATTTTCGGAAGACCCCAAAAACCCTAGGCCTCCTCACAGCAGCTACAAGCCTCACCGTACATGGATAACTCTTGGCGGGGCTTGTTTATGTGCAGACGCTGTGGATCCTGCGGCGCCACACAGATATCGGTTAGTATGACCACCTCGTAGGGACTACAGTCGGGCATGTGGAGGAATCCACACAGCCAGCCATAGAAACCCTTCTCGATGTCCGTGATGTCGTTCACCCAGCTGCTGTACTGCAGACTCAACTGCCGGAAACCGGAGTAAAGGCCCAACCCGAAGGTGCACAGTACTATGGCCAGCGGATAGGCCAAGAACAGCAGCGGTGTGACGAAGATCTTGTGCAGATACGACTTCTCCTCACAGTAATAGTTTAACATGTTGTACCAGGTGAGGGTGCCAATGTAGAAGGAGTACATCGCCGAAATAATCGTTACAAACGGCAGGCAGAGCAGAGAGATGAGGAAGATGTGCAGCCCGATGGCACAGCTGCAGGTGCAGCCCTTCTGTGACTCATTGGCCATGGCATGGGCATTCAGTTGCCCAGAGATGCCAACAATCCAGTTAAAGTTTGAATATACATACTAGAATCTATAGATAAACATAGACTTTATGGCAATGGTAATCCGTCAACTGCTTTCAGCAAATAGACATTCAATGTAAGCCAATGCCGCCTCGGGTGCTTTGGGCTCGCCATTGGCATCGTAGCCCAACAACTCTGGCTGCCTGTTCTGGGCAATGTAGCGCAGATATTCGCGTGTACTGTCCTGTCTCGGGCGCATCTTAAAGTCCCAGCCATCCAGACGTGAAGCGCTGAATATTGTGGCCCCATGACAGTTGACCGCCTTCGAAAACTTGTTGAATACCACGCCCAAAATGTTGTGCGACTTATTGATGATCATCACAGAGATAGTTTCGTTGGCCAGCAGAAGGGAAAGTTTCCGCAGCATTTTCAACTGCATGGGCCAGTGGTAGCAGGCAGGATCGTACAACATCACAAAGTAATCCCTGTCCTTGTGATCTTCCAAGTCAAAGTTATTTTGAGGAGGTGAATCCAATTCGGCAACGGGGGCCAGAACAACCGCCTGGAAGAGCTGATCCTGCAGCAGTTTCTCGCAAAAGTCCTTCATATTCCTGTAGTTCACCAACCTGTTCATCTCATAGACATTGTGCTTGTTATCCTCCCCATAGATAAGAGGCGGCAAATCTGGCCGATAGCCGCCAAAGTCATTCGGTCTGAGATTCGGATGCCAATCGCCGATGTTTTTCATGTCCATTATTAACCATTAATTATTGTGGCAGGCCACGTGCTTGTCCAGACATGTGGGCAGAGCGCAGTAGTCGACCCCAAAGGCGGCAGAGTCGTACAAAACGCAGGCGAGAAGCAGGAGCGCAACTATCTTGGTAAAGGCCATTTGAATTGCTTGGTCTTGGAAAGAGACTGGCCAAAGTTATCTGAATGGCCAGCTTTTATAGCGGAGCGGCACTGGTGGCACTGACGCATCCAGATAATAGCCAATCCAATTGTCATAACTATTTGTTACATTCGCTGGAAAACAGAATAGAGAAACATTCTGCATACAAGAAACAGCTGCCCATTAGCCTGTCCAAGGAGAGGTTTGAGGTCTTCCTATAAATAGGAAGCACTCCGCTGGTGGGACTTCAGTTGGAATCCAACAGCGGACATCAATATGAAGACTTATCTCATTGTGCTTGCTGCGATCCTAGGAGCTGCCATCGCCGTCGACTACTGTGCACTGCCCACCTGCATGGACAAGCACGTGGCCTGCAATAATAAAGGAGTAAGTGCCAGACGCTAGATCCAGTTAGTACACCCTCCAATCCATCAATCCCTCCCCTCTTAGAACTTCAGTGTTGATTGCCCCAAGGATGTGCGCGAAATCAAAATCGAACCCCATCACAAGCTCATCCTCACGCTTTTCAACGAACTGCGGAACAACGTGGCTGGTGGTACCATCGAGAACCTGCCCAAGGCGGTGCGCATGGCCAAGATGTCCTGGTGCGAGGAACTGGCCCACCTCGCCTCGTACAACGTGAGGACCTGCGAGTCCATAACCGACAAGTGCCGCAGCACGGAGCGCTTTGCCTATGCCGGCCAGAACAATGTCATCTTCAGCTACAGCGGAGCTGAGTCCGAGTACACGGATGCGGAGATCTTGAAGGAGCAGATCGAGAACTGGTTCGCCGAGCGTTCGAATGCCACCCCCGAGATTCTGGCCAACTTTCCCGAGGAGCTGCCCAACAAGAATGTGGCCAAGTTCACCATTGCCGTGGCCGAGAAGAACACCCACGTGGGATGTGCTGCTGTGCGCTTCTCCCGCGACTTCTACAACCACTTTGTGCTCACCTGTAATTTTGCCACATCGAACATCATCGGCCAACCCGTGTACACTCCGGGAGAGAAGGCCACCACGGGATGCAAGAACCGCTACGGTGCCGCCTTCGATTTCCCCAATCTGTGCTACGCCAAGGAGATCTACGACAACGAGAAGGTGGTCGCTGGCATCAAGGTGTTCTAGGAATTGTCACGAACAAACCGAGTGCAATGATGATCGTTGATCAAACTCATCTGAATATGTAATCCAATGCTTCTGCAGATATAAAGTGCTAACATGTACTCAAATCCTTAAAGGTTTTATTTATGATGAGATCTATTATAGTTACACGATTGCAAGAGTCGCTATATCTTGACTTATATTATTATCCAGTTGCATTTAGTTTCGGACAATCCTCTGGGTAAAGGAAATGTGTAATTTCACAAGGAAACTGAGTGCACAATCTTTTCTTAAAATTAGTTGATTCTACCCCGACGACCCCCATTGACAAAAATTTGTACATTTAGCTTAGGCGTAATCAAAACTCTTTTTATTGAGCGCTACCCTACCGCAGCAGAGGGTGGTAGTAGAGGCAGGCAAAACACCAACAAAGTTCATTTTGGATTAGGCGGTGGCGGCGGCGGCGGTAGCAGCACTGGTGGTGGCAGCAGCCTCCTCCTTGAGACGATCCTTCTTGAGGGGACCCATGAAGGCCAGCTTGTCGGCTGGGGTCTGGAAGCGACCATGGCCCATCTTCGACGAGGTGTCGATGAACTTGAGCTTGATCTGTTCCAGAGCCGAGCGCTTGGTGTGCTTCAGCAGGGACTTGCGCAGGGTGATGATGCGCTTCTTGGAGCCAATGCAGCAGCCCTTGATCATGACAAAGTCGTTGTTGACCTCACCATAATGGGGGAAGCCACCCATGGGGGTGATGCTCTTATCGGTCAGATCGTACTCGGTGGAGGCGTTGTTCTTGATGACCTACAATTGAGAAGAGGGTGGAAATTTGCGTTAGTCTTTGTCACACAACAGGGATAGTGAGTGGGATTGGAAAGGACAAACTGCACCCCACGCTGTTCTGTCTGTCTGTGTTCTCAGTCCTATCATTATAGATATCATGGTATATCAAGGTTTTGTTTGTTTTCGATGTCGTATAATATTTTTAGTTTTTTATCATCATTGCCACAGGAGACGAGAAACAGCCGGGTGCAAATATTGTCTATTGTATGTGGGTCAAAAGGGGAACAAGAATGCTGCTTTACCTTGCCATCCTTGGTGTGGATGCCAGCACCAATGCGGTAGATCTTCTTGTTGATCTCGGTACGGTGGTGGTAACCCTTCTGACCGGCACGTGCCACAGTGGTGGACACACGGGACGGATGCCAGGCACCGATACAGGCGACCTTGCGCAGACCCTTGTGCGTCTTACGGGGCAGCTTCTTGGTGTGCCAACGCGAGGTGACACCCTTGAAACCCTTACCCTTGGTCACGCCAACGCAATCGATCATCTCATCCTGACCGAACACATTGCTGACCTGGATGGGCTTCTCCAAGTGCTCACGGGCCCACTTGACCTTGTCCTCGATTGAGCCACCGTTCAGCTGGATCTCCATGATGTGGGCCTTCTTTTGACGCTGCTTAATCAAGCGGATCTAAACGAGAAAACAATCGAAATACTTTGATTAGCTCCTTCCATTCGCATGAATATTAAAGAGGTTTGGGGACTGTACGTGATATGGTTTAACCGAGCGATCATAGCCTGAGCGGCTGCGCACCGTTACTGGAATATATCAAGCGCCCGCCACCCGAGGGGCAGGTTCATCTGCGACGTTGCATTCCTTAACTGTGCATCGAGAGACACAGCGTGAATGCTTTTTAGGCCAGGCGCACCAAACGGCCAAGCCCCCGAAAGGACCCAGCACAGATGGCGCAACAAGGCCAAGGACGTCGTACGATCAAAGAGTGTCAATACAATAAAAGGGTGATATTTACCTGCGAGTGGGCAATCACACGGATGACCTTGCAGTAACGCAGCATCTTGCGGAAGTCATTCTCGATGCTCTTCTTTCCAAGATCATCGGTCCACTTCTTGCTGGTCTTGGTGAAGGCCTTCTTCTTGCTCTTGTACCTGAGATATGATTATGGTCAAGTTGTAGATGCAGTCAGAAACAAGAGAATCCATTGGGTTTTCAGTGCACGCCAACTTCTTAGCTGCTGTGTCATTCGGGAGGGGCGAAATAGAACAGGAAGTGCACCTCATCGCAATCGTAAAGGCGAGCGGAGATGCAGTCTTCCATGTCGTGCTCACTCGACAAGTTCTTCGAGTTAAACAAAGATCACAAGGATCAAACTCAACTTGACAGCTCACACGACGTTCAGTGATTTGAAAAGCTCTCTCAGCGTACTGATCGAAGAACTTTATGATATGAGTTTTGCATTTAGTAAGGTCTTCTCAAGGAAATACACTATAAAAAGGTCCATCCAAAAGCGCGCGCACACACACACACACAGCATACACGACACGTCGTGGTTCTCTACGAGACCGATCAGAAGGAAGGCAGCAGATGGTAGAAGGTTTTTCAACAAGAATTTTGCTCATTCAGATACCATCGTATCATCATTCAGGTCAGCAGTTGCACGTGTGTCTGCGCATGTGTGCGTGTGTGCACACTCGTACAAAAACAAAATGGCGGAGGCATGGATAAACTGTACCCACGTGGGAGGAGATACATACCAGTTCTTGTAGAAGCGACGACGGCACTCCTCGGACAGATGCTGGGCCCAAACATTGACCAAAGCACGCAGACCGAATGGAGTCTCGATATAACCGACGGCACCAACCACAATCATAGGTGGGGTCTCCAGAACGGTGACGGCCTCAACGACCTCCTTCTTGTTAATCTCTGCAAAATGGTAAACAAAATATTGTTTGGTTTAGACACGTGCAACAGCAGTGGATAAAACGAGGATTTGGATGAAGCTTAGTCAGTCCGCCCTAGTAAAGTAATAATCACGGTTGATCATACAGTTTCTAACCATAAATTTTTTACCTTTTATCATCATGAAAATCGATTCTTAAAAAACATTTTAAAAAAATGTATACTTACTGGAACCAGGACGGTCAGCCTCACGCACAATGTGGGTCATACCGGCCTTGTAGCCGATGAAGCAAGTCAGATGAACGGGCTTGCTGGCATCATCCTTGGGGAAAGCCTTAACCTTGCCACGATGGCGTGCTGAGCGCTTCTTGGGGTAGAAGGCCATGGAGCCATGGCGAGGCGCGGAGAACTTACGATGAGACTGCAAGCAAAAAGAAAAAACGAAAATCAGACCATGCTTTGAGGTTATGTCGCACACGTGGCTATTGAAAATACAATTTTCGCGAAAAGCGCTTCATTTGTACATTATCTGAAGTGCACAGCGTGTTTGCACTAAATATTTAAACATATTTTCAACGTTGTTCAGTGAACCATAATCCACATCAACTATTTCTAGTCTCAGAGTGGTGCATGGTAATCTCATCATAAAAACACATCGCATCAATATGCAATTCCACGAAAATACTCTTTAGTACCGTCCATCCATTAAACAGATCAAGATAATCAATTCTTTTAGTTTATCCGAGTTCACTTAATATCTTCTATTTTCACTATTTGCCGCAGCGAAACTTACCATGACGTCTGTTCACTTCAGACGATGCGATGAAAGAGAAAGAAGGCGGAAATTAATTTTGGAAGTCAACTTGTTTCCCAAGATGGCTGCGCCCAGAGTTGCACAAACATCGATACTACTATTGAAAGATCAGAAATGATTTCAGCCCTTATCGATGTACAGGGCTGCTGCTACAAACAATCTGTACTTTTGTGAACGCACTTAGTCCACTTAAGCCCACTTAAAAATTTAAACAAGTTGAGGTAAATGGCGTAAAATAATATCGTTTGTAAATTCTGCTCGTAGATCCATATTTTCTCTCTCTACGATCCTACTATTGAAAGATCAGGAATGATTTCAGCCCTTATCGATGTACAGGGCTGCTGCTACAAACAATCGGTACTTTTGTGAACGCACTTAGTCCACTTAAGCCCACTTAAAAAGTTGAAAAAGTTGAGGTAAATGGCGTAGAATAATATCGTTTGTAAATTCTGCTCGTAGATCCATATATCCATAGGTACTACTTTTTATTTGATTGTTTATAAAATTCGGTTTTCTTTTCCTTTTCAAATTTCATTGTTAAAGGTGGCGTCGGTTTAACACTTTAAAGCCCCTGACAGCTAAGCATGTTATCTAGTTGTTGTTTGTTTGTTATCTTATCTATTAAGATAAGTGTATGAGTTAATTTTCTTTAGTGGGAGTTTAAACAAACGCGAAGGATGACGAAAGTGTGCCGAGTGTGTCTGGATGATGACGTCCCACTGGTGGATATATTCGCTGAAATCTGCGATCCCAAACTGGACCTGTCTGAAAATAGCCCCGCCTATGTTATAAGCCAGTTCCAACCAAATCATTCTGTGGTGCGCGGGGACTCTATGCCGCAGTTTATTTGTCTCTCCTGCATTCATGGCGTCCAGGCTTCATATCGTTATAAGGTGAAATTGGACCAGGGCCCTGAAAATTATCGAAAACTCTGTCTAAAGCAAGCGAAGCAGAAAAGCTGTGATGAAGAGGAGGAAAGCCATGAGATCAAGGCGGAGCCCGAGAATGCTATGCTGCCCGACAAGACGGAAGACTTAGTTGAGGACTTCGCTGATGCGCAGCCTCGCCTGCAGATGAGCTTTTCAATGGATAACGATGAGATTCGGCCAATGGTACAGATCCCCGGGCTGTCTCAGGTGACAGAAGCGGAGGTTCACATATGCAACAATTTACAAGGGAATAAAGCCAATAAAACGCAGAGGTAAGTATTACTGAGCAGAGTGTATACATAAATTATAATTGATGTTGTCCCCCAGTCGTCACTGTGGCAAGTTACCGTTCGTCTGTGATGTTTGCGGCAAGGGATTCATGACTGAGTACCACCTGAAAAGACATAAACCCACTCACAGGCACAAGCGGAAGTCCAAGCTGTAAGTACTTGGCTTGCAACACCGAACCATTGCTTAGCTTTCTTATTAATGCAGCAACAGAAAACATCTTGGAAGTAAGAACACACATCGTAGTCCGGCACTTGAAAAGAAGAAACCAGAGTCGGAAGAGAGTGATTTACAAATGCTGTCCTGCCATGACACCTCTAGTCGCTCAAGAAGTCCATCATTGCTAAAGATGTAGGTGTTCAGTCATACCGAATGATTAAATAGACATTAAATAATTTGTTCTTCAAATCAGAATGAAGTGCACCCAAGACCCCGACAACACTGATATATCAAGCCACACCAAGAAGAGCTGCTCGACCAAATCATCGCCAAGGTAAGTCCATCTTTTGCCGTAGCAATGGATTTTCGTCTTAAATTTAATTTTTTCCCAAAACCAGAAAACTGAATCGTACTTGCCAAGAGTGCGGTAAGACGTTTGCGTACAAACAAGACTTGGTTAGGCACATTTTAGTTCACAATGACGAAAGTCCTTTCAAGTGTACGTATTGCAAGAAGCAATTTTCTCGCAGGGATCATCTGGCTAATCACACTCGTATCCATACTGGCGAACGTCCTTTCCACTGCTTCCAGTGTGGCAAAAATTTTACGGAAAGGTCTTCGCTGCGGAGACATGTTCGTAGACGCCACGTCACAAGTCCTTCTGCGAAAGGAAATTCAGTTCGAGTGCGGATCTTGAGGAACATACGCGTCGGTACGGCATAAAGAAAGAAGAACGTTTTGACGAAAGTTCTAAACTGGAGATACACAAAAGAAAAGCGTCTAACAGGTTCAGCTTAACTGGAGATAATATGCTTAAAAATCATATTCCCTGTATTTTCCTCGTATAAAAAATGCATACTTTTTATTACGCGGAAAGTTGGTGCCTTTTTTGTTTAATTTTCTTACATACCAAACAGTACATTATTAAATAGTCGTATGGCTAAGGATTGTAATTAAGGGGTAATACAAATTTTTAATAAAATGATTATGCATGTACAAAATAAAATAATTTTAGCCCAAAAGACCATTTATTCATTCAATAACGTGTTAGAGTTAAGTTGATTTAATTGTTACTTTTTTGTTTTTAATTCTTACGCGCCAAAATATGAATTTTGATTGCTAGTCTTTATTCTTACTAGTGGTGAAAATTCACACGATAGGAATAGCTTGACATATCCGGAAAATCGAACAAATGCAACTGAAACGCAACCATAACTAAATTTTTGGCCCTTTGCTTATCTTATGAATAAAAATACCTGGTTTTGCCAAAAAGGCAATCTTGCGGCAAGATTAAGTTGTATAAATACACCTTGTAACATGTTTTGGCGATATTTTTCCTAGCGAAGTTGTCTTTGAATTTCCTAATGGTGTGGCAGCGCTACAAATATCTGAGAGTCTAGTATTTGCTTAGTATTTTCGTAAATGAAAGGGCATACTATTTGAGCATTTTGGCGCATTTTCTGCTTGTTTGTTGCAAAAAATTGCGAAAGAAAATAAAATTAAATACAGTAATGACGACGTTGGAATTGTGCGAGAAGTACTTTGAAACACGAGATGTGTACAAACTAATGAGTCTGCAGAAGGATGCCAAAGAGAAGGAGATTAAGAAGGCATACCACAAGCTGTCACTATTGGTGCACCCGGACCGTGTGCCGGAGGATCAAAAGGAGGAATCGACGGAAAAGTTCAAGGTCCTGTCCAAGATCTACCAAGTCCTGACGGACACCCAAAAGCGGGCATTGTACGATGAACAAGGTGTCATCGATGACGATGACGATGCGGAAGCCAAGTTGACCTCATGGCTGGAATTGTGGAGCAAAATCTTCAAACCAATCTCCGAGGAGGATATCAACAACTATGAGAAAGAGTATGTTGACTCTGAGCTGGAGCGCACTGACATCAAGAAAGCCTATCTGGGTGGCAAGGGCTGCATAAACTACCTCATGAATCATATCCCCTTCATGAAGGTTGAGGACGAGCCTCGAATAAAAAAGATTGTAGAGGCAATGATTGCTGCCGAAGAGGTTCCAGAATATAAGATATTTACAGAAGAGCCGTCCGCCAAACGCAAGAAGCGGCACAACAAGTACGCACGTGAGTTCAAAGAGGCCACTGTCATCAAGGAACGCATTCAGCGGCGCCAGCAGCAGAAAGATGAAGAAGATCTGGAGGCCTCCGGTGGCAGTCTGCAGCAGATGATACTCGCCCGCAAAAGTCAACGCGAGTCGAACTACAATTCTCTCATGGACCGTCTGCTTGAGAAGTACGGGGGCGAGGATGAATCTCAATCTGTGGACTTTGGCGACTTTGAGAGGAAAAAGAAGTCCAAGGCAAAGAAATCCTCAAAGCCCAATCCCAAAGAGAAGCTCAAAGGCGTTAGGACCGGCCGAGTGGAGAAGGCCAAGAACTAAGCCGCCGTTGAACATATTTCACAAAGATACATATTCGTATTCGTCAAAAACTTTTGTATAATGCAGTTTAAGTTGAAAAATATTATAAATTATTAAGTATACACATTACAGTTTCATTTTCATTTAGAATTAGTGAGCCATTTTGCAAGGCACAAATATATTTGTTTAAACAAGTAATAAAAGTGAATATTCTATTGATTCATAAGTAAATCAAAACAAATGAATAAAATTAAGTGACGCTAAAAATTGTTCTTCCATTTATTCTTAGTAGAATTCCATTCCTACAGCAACGCAATCTCAAATTACCAAAAACTAATCAGACGAGATATTAAACAAGCATAAAATTTATTTAAATGTTCTGCTAATTTTGCTACACCTTGCAATGCTTCCCCCAGAATCTGGTCACACCTGCACTGTCCTATCGATATCACATTCAAGTAAAACGTAAACAAAACAAATTGAGTACGAAGGAGAATTTTAATTTAAAAATTAATTCATTTTGGTCCAAAAATGAACTGCGTTGTGCTAAATTGCCAAAATGCCACACGGGGCTCTGAAAGAAATCATGATATGTATTTCTTCAAGTTTCCGAAGAACGCCGATTTAGCCAAACGTTGGCTATCATTTTGCGGCAATAAACATGCCCTAGGAATGAAGAATGCCTGCATATGCATCAAACATTTCAAAGACGAGGATATCGTGGGGCTTGAAAAGTTCAAATCAGGTGAGTACTGTTGGTATGTAATTTAAACAACGTAGTAAAATCCATCCACAACTATCAGGATGGACAAGGCATGTTTCATTGGGCCTCAACGCTGTGCCGTGCATACACGTGAAGAAGAAAAGTATGTCGGAAACGTCCCAAAATGTGGAGGAAACGGTCTATAATATAGAGGAAACGGCCCACAATGTCGAGGAAACGGAATTTGAGGAATTTCAGACAATACCAAATAATGATTGCCCCGAAGCTAACGCAGGTGAAGCTGATGAAGGAAATCTGACGCAGTTCAATAAGTGCCGTACTTGTTATCGGGATTATAAGTTTGATTTGGATGAAGAAGATCCTTTTGCAGAGGCCAACAGCATGTTGCTGTTTCGCATCGAAGTCATTTGCGGAGTCTGGGTATGTCCGATAAATTATATTCAAGCACTTAAACTGAAATACTTTGCTATCTAACAGCTTAGCAAGATCAAAGGTGGACCACGTTACATGTGCCCGGATTGTCAGTTGTCCCTAAAGAATGCGATCGAGTTTCGTGAGAAGGTCATAAGCACGGAGGTGATGCTAACACAGGGGAGGCCCGTGTGTGATAAACCAGCAGTCGAAGTAGAGTCGGTAGCAACAGAGACAGGTCAAGGGTCATCAGCACCTGAGTGGACATCAGAATTGGTATCGATTAATACAGAAGAAGATGACGAAGAATATACACAGTATGAACACATTTATGATGTACCATCTAGCCCTAGCTTTAATAAGATTGATCATATAGTAGAATTAGAGACCATTGAGGAAAATATCGACGTTGCTAATGCAGATTCATTCAGCGTTGCCTGTGGGACGAAAATCCTCAACGAAATGATAAATGATAATGACAAACACGAAAGGACAAAGAATGAAACAAAAGCAGAGAAACCAACCAAGGAACGCGCCAAGCCAAGGAAAATGAAAATTCAAGCAAGACGCCAAGACGATGACGAGGATGATTCTGAATTTATAATCTTCGGCGCGTTTGATAAGAAAATGAAGTTGAGTGCAACAAAATCCCCAAGACGTACCTCATTTAAAAGGAGAGTTAGGGGTAGACGAGTAGAGAATAAGTAGAGAAGATCTAAGTCGCTTTCAAATCTTCATATTATTATTTTATAATGATAAAATAGTTCTCATATAGTTTTTTACAATGTCGATTTTTTCGTTAATTATCTCTTTGTATACATTTCGAATTAGTAAGACATTTTGTGAAATAGAATAAGTTGTATTATATGATTAATATTCAAAATAATTGAATAAAACATTTCAGTAAGTGATGATATTTGTTCTTTAATTTTTTGGTGACGAATGAATTCTAAAATCGGTAATAATTATGCAGACTCTTGAGATAAAAAACTCCAATAAGAAACAATTTGTGTTTTTGTGACGTCACAATTGCTGTTTTGTTGCACCACTAACCATACTGTATGGTTAGTGGTTGCACCCTTCAATACTTGGCCTTTCACCAGCATCTGGTCGCACTTTCGAAGTGACACCACTATCCGATGCTTTTTTCGTGCTATCGATAACTCATCACATCTTAATATAAAATAAACACAATTTTATCAACATTTATTTGTTGGCCCAAAAATGAGATGCGCAGTGATTAATTGCCAATATGCCACAATGGCCCCAACTAAAAAGGAACAAATATGTTTCTTCAAGTTTCCGAGGAACGCAGATTTAGCCAAACGTTGGCTATTATTTAGCGGCAATAGAGATGCCCTGAAAGTGAAGAATGCCAGTATTTGCATGAAGCATTTCAAAGACGAGGATATCTTGGGGGCTAGAAAGTTCGAATTGGGTGAGTACTGTACGTATATCATTGAGCAGACAATATATTAAAATTCATTCAATTCCATTAGGAATTGCCAAGAAGAGGACATTGCGGCAAGGCGCAGAGCCGTGCATAAACCCAGGAAACGAAACGCAAATCCGAAAGACACTATTGGCTGAGCTTTTGGCGGATGCCGAGGAAACGGACATGGCCCCGGAGAACACTGAATCCACTCCCAGCTATGACCGATATAATACTGGAAATGCTACGGAACCGGACGTTGTCAGTCCGCCGCCCATTGAGGATACTGCCTACCTTCAGACAATATCACATGAAGATTGCCCCGAAGCTGATGCTGATGAAGTGGAAGCTGATGAAAACCAAGAGAGCCACCAGTTCAATAAGTGTCGTACCTGCTATCGGGATTACGACTTCGATTCGAATGCCGAAGATCCTTTCGACAAGGCCAACAGCGTTATGCTGTTTCGTATCGAAGTAATCTGTGGAGTCTGGGTATGTCTGATAAATTACATTCAACGAATTGAACTGAATTGTTTTATATCTCACAGCTCAGCAATATTGAAGGCGGACCACGTTTCATGTGCCCGGATTGTCAGTTGTCCCTAAAGAATGCAATCGATTTCCGTGAGATGGTCATAAGTACGGAGGTGATGCTAACACAGGGGAGGCCCGTGTGTGATAACCCAGAAGACCAAATAGAGTTAGACTCAATAGAGACAGATCAAAGAACATCAGTACCCGAGTGGCCAAATGATTCCGTATCAGATAAAATGGCAGAAGACGACGAGGACGACGGCGACGAAGATACTCGGTATGAAGACATCTATGATGCATCACCTAGCCCTGTCCGTAGCCATTGCTCTAATAAGATGGATCATATGGAAATAATAGAGACCGCTGAGGAAAATATCAACCCTACCAGAACAGAAGTCAGCGTTGGCCGTGGGGCCAAATTTTACGACGAACTGCTAAACGAAGTCTTAGGTCAAGATAAAGTCAAGCCCGAAATGTCAAAGCTGGAAATAAAAGCAGGAAAACCAGCCAAGGAACAGCCCAAGCTAAGGAAAATGAAGATCCAAGAAATACGCCAAGACTATAACGACGATGATTCTAAATTTGTGGTATTTGAGAAGAAAAACAAATCCAAGGCAAAGAAATCAAAGAAAACCCACAAAGAGGTAGAGAAAAAATACTAGGATTGGTCAAGTAGAGACGGCCAAGAAAGTTGCCGCACCTAAACATAATTATTAACCATAATTGTACTTTTCAAATAGTTTTGAATTATGTGGTTTTATTTTCGTTCAATAATGTTTTTATGTAAATTTCGAACATTCACACATTTTTGGAATGCAGACATTTTTGTTTACTCTACTGGTAAATAATTCATAAATTCTGAAATTAATATAAATATATAACGTCCCATCGTGCCGGTTTTATTGCACCCTGTAATGCGCAGCCTAGTCGCAGCATATGGTCATACTTTCGAAGTCGTGCATACCACCACTATTTATTCGATACGAGCTATCGATATCTCTTGAAATAAAATAAACACAATTTTATGAAGAACAATTTTTGGGCCGAAAATGAGATGCGCAGTGTTAAATTGCAAAAATGCCAGAACGGCCTCTGAGAAAAATCAAGATTTATGCTTCTTCAAGTTTCCGAGGAACGCAGATTTAGCCAAGCAATGGGTATCTTTTTGCGGCAATAAAAATGCCTTGAATCTGAAGAATGCCAGCATATGCATCAAACATTTCAAAGATGAGGATATCGTCGGGGCTCTTAAGTTCGAATTGGGTGAGTACTGATCGTATATCATTCAGACACCATGGTAAAATTCCTCGACAATTATCAGGCTTGGCGAAGAAGAGGACATTGCGGCCAGGCGCAGTGCCGTGCTTAAACCGGGAAATAGAAACCAAGTCGGAAAAGGCTCGCAAAGAACGAAACCAAAAGCGGGAGAATCAGAAACTGGTGGCCGAGCTTCTGGCGGATGCCGAGGCAAAGGAATTGGCCCAGGATGACAATGAACTCGCTCCCAGCAATGTCCGATATAATACTGTTTCGGCCCCGGCTTTCGTGAGTCCGCCGCCCATTGATGAAAGCGCCACCCTTCAGACCATATTACATGAAGATGACCCCCTCACATCCGATGAAAACCACGAAAGTCTAAACCAGCTCAATAAGTGTCGTACTTGCTATCGGGACTATGAGTTTGATCCGAATGCCGAAGATCCCTTTGACAAGGCCAACAGCGTTTTGCTGTTTCGCATTGAAGTCATTTGTGGGGTTTGGGTATGTCTGAAATGTATTCCATTCCATTCAACGACTTGAATTTGCTATTTCACAGCTCACGAGCATCGATGGCGGACCACGTTTTATGTGTCCCGATTGCCAGTTGTCCCTGAACACTGCGATCGAGTTCCGTGAGAAGGTCATAAGTACGGAGGTGATGCTAACGCAGGGGAGGCCCGTGTGTGATAAACCAGCTGTCGAAGTAGAGTCGGTAGCAACAGAGACAGGTCAAGGGACATCAGCTCCTGAGTGGACATCAGAATTGACATCGATTAATATGGAAGAAGACGACGAAGAAGATCCACAGCACGAAGACATTTATGATGAATCATATAGCCCCATGCATAGCCCTAGCTCTAATAAAATTGATCGTATAGAAATGATAGAGACGATTGAGGAAAATATCGACGCTGCCCCAGCAGATCCACTCAGCGTTGCCCGTGGTACAAAAATTCTAAACGAACTAATAAAGGAATTCAAAGGTCAAGATAAAGTCAAAACCGAAAGGTCAAAAGAAGAAACAAATGCACCGAAAAAAGAGAAGGAACAGGCCAATCCAAGGAAACCCAAAATCCGGGCAAGACGCCAGGCCAATCCAAAATCGAAATCGGAGCGGAATCGCATACGCCGCGCCCAGCTCAGAGACAAGCCCCCAACCCATGTGTGTGATCAATGCGGACAGATATTCCGTATGGTGCACAATTTGCAAATTCATATGCTTCGTCACAGCCGCACGAAGAACTTCGAGTGCCCGGAATGCCCAATGACATTCTACGATGCCTACATGAGGAACATTCACATACGCGTCCGTCACAAGGGCGAGAATCCATTCGTCTGCAGATATTGCCCCGAAAGATTTGCATATGCGGGGAAGCGTCAGAAGCACGAAGCGTGAGTAATAGATGAATTCAAAGATTAGTAGCATCGTTTAAGATCTGATTTCCTTCTAGTAAAGTACATTGGGCACCCCCTCGCATAAAAGTAAAGCGGATAAATCCCGCGCCAAGCCCACGAGCTAAGACGCGCTACTTTTGCAAACTTTGCGATAAAAACTATGTGTCGAAGTACGCTTTAGCCTGGCACATTAGATCGCATGCAGAGGCAAACGCCTTCAAATGCCAGCATTGCGAAAAGACCTACTCCGAGCCAGCGAAGCTGAAGCGGCACGAAATGACTCACGGGGAAAGGCCACTGCAATGCGACGTCTGCCTGAAGGGCTTCTATCAGCGCACCAAGCTCAAAGCTCATGAACTCATACACACTGGAGAGCGCCCCTTTCGGTACGAGTACAATTTCCTCTAGATTATTTAACCCTTAACTGTGTACCCTTTCTTGCAGGTGTGAAATTTGTAACGTTAATTTCCGGTACAAAACTAATTTAAAGACTCATGCGAACACCAAAATGCACCAGGAGAATCTACTCAAATCGGGAGAGAGTGTTAAAATTGATGTCGACTAGAACTAAAATGTATTTATTCTATTATGGAGGCCTGATGGTCGCCGTTTTAAATTTACGAACGGTTTGTGGATATTCGGATTGATTCGGACAGCCTCCCCAGACTCTCTTCAGGGTCATATATATATTGCTAATTAGGAACTGCGCCTTTCTTGTCCTCCTCGTCAGTTCTTTCTTGAAAATGAAAGAACCATGTTCAATATCAATCTTTAACCCATTTTGGAAAAAGGAAAAAGTTTTATAAATATACGAATAAGAGACAACGTAGCTCCATTGGCTAAATCTGTATAAATGGAATGGAGAAATAATTAAACCGGTACTTGTCATGTACATAATTTATGCATTACACTAGTTGCATCACCTTGGTCTTTTTCACATAAATTGGGCGTCGAAACCTGTGGTCACACTATCCATATATTCGAATAAGTATTTACTTAATAAAATATTATATTAAATGGGTTAGGGCTCATGTGTAGCGCTCTCATTTTGAAAATAAAATATGCCCAACGTTTTTTCGGCATTTTGTATTTTGGGAAGTAGTTAGACCAGATTTTATAAATTTCTCAGTAAGTTGAAATGAAACATCTCTAACAAAAACAAATGGTTGGATCAGGAAAATTTAAAAACTAAAGAACCTTTTGATAGTTGTCGTATAATAATCCTGAATCTGGTGGTTCCCAAACAATTCGGAAAATTCCAGCAGCACTAGAAATCATCGGCAATTTTTGCGGGGGAGAATGTAAAACTTAACATAGAATAGAATAATCTAGAATATTTATTTAAATTTTCGAACGGTTTGATGCCTGTGCGGACCAACAGGTGGATATTCGGATTGAATCGAACAGCCTCTGTAATCTTCTTGCAAAAACAATTCCCAGCGGATCTTCAGCTACTGCCGGATAATTAAAATTATATTTGCCATATATGTAAATTTGTAAGCCATTTTGGAGAAAGAATTATGTTAGTTTTATATTTATACGAATACAAAATAAATCAATAATTAAGCCATTGCTTGTCTTGTGTGTCTGGTCACACTTTCGATATAATCGAATAAATAATCCATTCGATTCCTTAATTCTATCGATATCTCAACAAATCAGTGAAAAAGAAGCGTCACTTTTTTTTAACATTTGGTTCATGGTATAATACCTGTAAAAGGTAAGGAAAATTAGTCAAGTGACCTTTTTTTGTTTATTTCGGACGCTGCAGGCACTAGCACTAACATTTGCATGCACATGCACATTAATTATTAGTGGTTCTAATAATTTTGCGCTTGTGTCTGTGTGTGTTTGCTTGTATTGCACTTGACCCATGTGTATTTACATACGTTTAGTGTCTTTTTTTTTAGAGAAACTAAAGAAATATGTCGAGCTACTGCGGTGCCTGTCGAAAGAGAACCAACCTGAAAACGTTTAGAATGCCAGTTAATGAACAAAAACGGAAGTTATGGGCAGATTCGCTGGAAATCGAATACACAAATCAAAGGATTTGCGAAAATCATTTTAAAAAGACTGACTTTTATTATGCCGACAGTATGAATAGTAAAAGGCGACTTCGTCTGCGCCCCGAAGCCATTCCAGAGCAATGTTTATTGTTATTCAAGGACAAAAAATTAGGTTCGCCGACAGAGTAAGTAACTTTTCTAGTTATTAATTGGCCACACGAACAAAAACTGCATTCCAGTATAAAGGTGTGTGTGTGTGCGTGGCAGCATGATACAACTACAAAAAGGTACAGCCATCGCAAGCGCTCTCTTGCTTGGGTAGTGGTGGTATTTTGGGTCAATGGCGCTCGAGAAAAGTGGGGATAGTTCACACAGTACGAAAAAAACTATGCATATTTTTTGTTCTTTTTACAATGGAGAAAAATGGTAACCTGAAACATTTATCAATGGTTAGATGCCCTAGAAATCGGCTATAACCATTGGCATAGAATTTGCGAAAATTATTTTAAAATAAGTGGCATAACCGCCTCCGTCTGCGCCCCAATGCCACTCCACCCCAATCAAACATATTACCTATTGCAAAACCAACGAAAATCGGGATGGCCGTACCTTGTTTAGTTGTATCCTGCGTGGCAATACAGTTGCACAGCACCATAGTCTAGTTTGAATGTTTAATGAACATACAATTCATTATTAATTAGCAGCGCCGAGCAAGGAGAACACCAGCTAAACGATGACACGGAATATGACACTTATCAAACGGAAGACCCATCGGCCCCTTCGTGCGAAAGTCCGCCCATTGAGGACGATGACTCCCTTGAATCCATGTTTCTCGATGATGACGATCCCCTGGCAGGCGAGGACAACAAGGGATCTTTTAGTCAGTTGATGAAATGTCGGGCCTGCTATCAGGAGTATCAATTTGACACGAACTCCAAAGATCTGTTCCTCAAGCAGAACGCTGTTTATCTGTATCGCATTGAAGTCATTTGCGGAGTTTGGGTATGTGTCGACTACATTCCATTCAGGGACTTGAATTCAAACACTTTGCTATTTCACAGCTCACGAGCATCGAAGGCGGACCACGTTACATGTGTCCGGATTGTGAGTCGGCCCTGAACACTGCGATCGACTTCCGTGAGAAGGTCATAAGTACGGAGGTGAAGCTAACGCAGGGTAATCCCGAGTGTAATATTGCAGCGGTCGAAGTAGAGTTGGAATCGGCTCAGAATTTTCATGAAACGGCAGCAAATGAGTGGCCCTTGGGTTTAATTTGTAAGGAAGAGGATGAGGTAAATTATGCTAAGGCACAGAGCACTATCCTTAGCCCGAATATAGAAATGCTGGAGCCCCTGGAAGAAGATATCAACGCTGACCCATCGGATCCACTCAGCGTTGCTCGTGGGACCGACATTCTTAAGGAACTCGTTATCGAATTGATTGGCCAGGATAAAGTCACACCTGAGAAGCCGGCAAGAAAAATAAAAGCTGATTCCGGAGACGAACAGACCATAGAAGATGCCATCGAAGATTACATGGAGGACGTCATGGAGGAGGAAAGCGAAGAAGCCAAGAAGCAGCAGGACAAGAAACCGACAAAGGCAAAGAAGACAAAGGCTCGCGAGACACAGCCAAGAAAGGTGAACGCCAAATTGAAGCGGGAGCGGGAACGCCAACGTCTCGCTAAGATGAGGGAAAAGCCCCCAAACTACGTGTGCGATCAATGCGGTTCGGCCTTCCATTTGGTTCACAATTTGCAAATTCATATGCTCCGTCACACCCGCACGAAGAACTACCAGTGCACGGAATGCCCCATGAAATTCTACGATGCCTACATGAGGAACATACACATACGAGTCCGTCACAAGGGCGAGCTGCCTTTTGTATGCAGGCATTGCCCCGAAGCATTTTCAAATGCGGGCGCCCGTCACACTCACGAAGGGTAAGTCGTCGATGCAATAGAATTGAGATTAGAAGTTCACACTGAAATGTGGTTTCGTTTTAGCAAATTTCATGGCGTGAAAATACACCACAATTCGAGGAACAAACAACCAAACAAGCAACCAACACAGCGCTTCTTTTGCGAAACTTGCGACAAGAGCTATGTCTCGAAGTACGCCCTTGCCTGGCACATTAAATCGCATGCAGAGGCGAATGCCTTCAAGTGTAAGCTGTGCGACAAGAGCTATAATGCACCAGCGATGCTCAAGCAGCACGAAAGGGTACACAAGGAGAGGCCACTGAAATGCGACGTCTGCCAGAAGGGCTTCTATCAGCGCACCAAGCTCAAAGCTCACAAACTTATACACTCCGGCGAGCGACCACATCGGTATGTAGACCTGTTTGAGATCCGTTTCCAATAATAGTTCAATACATACGGTTTTTTTTCGTTTCAGGTGTGAACTTTGTAATGTTCATTTCCGGTACAAAACAAATTTAAAAACGCACGAGAACACCAAAATGCACCAGGAGAATTTAAGAAAGGTTCATGAGAGTGTAACCGTTGATATTGAATAAAATCGTATTTGTCTTTCCAATGTTATATTGTTTCATGTATTTATGCTTGACTTTTGCTGCACCGTTTTGGTTTTTCGCTTCTTTCGGCGTTCGTTTTCGATATGACTGGTGGATTTAATGTGCTGGGTAAAGTTGCCGGCCCTCAAGAACCAGAGATCACAGACTTCGCAGCTATAGAAAAGGTTGGTTAATAAGTAAGCAACAATATTTAATTGAGAACTCACTGGAAAGTACGCTCGCCTTTCTTGATAATCTCCCATTTGGATTGGGGTGCTCGTCCTTTTTTGCATGCCTCGCTGCAAACAGGGCATTGCAATTCAAGTGAAAAAAACCAATTCTGGTGTCGGTGTCTACTACTCACCGTTCATGTCGGACCCGAGAGCTGTTTGTGCTGTACTTGAGCCCGCAGAAGGTGCAGGCGTAGGGCCCCTCTGTATGCTTCAGCTGGTGCCGTCGCAGTAGATGCAGTGTGTAGCACTTCTGATGGCATATCTCGCACTCGAACGGTTTGGTGCCCGTGTGCCGCAACAGGTGGACATTCAGATTGCTGGTGTCGCGGAATTGGCGGCCGCAGTGCTCACAGATACAGGGCTTGGCGATTTGGCTGTCCCGATCCACAATGCGTTTGGGATTAGCATCGTCAATCACCTTGACGTGTATGAGTTTTCGTCCCAGGCGCATTGTTTGCTTATTGGCCTTCATTTTGCCCTTCGTTTTGTTTGACCCTGTGACTGCGGGTTCCGTGTCGCTTTTGGCAGTAGCATGTACTGCCTCAGTTTCCGATTCTCCATACTCTGCTTGAAGCGGTAAGTAGTCGTCGGCCTGGTCCTGGTCGTCTTCATAGCTGCAATCTTTGAGATGTTTTCCGAGATACCTTTCGGCTTCATAAGCCTTCTGCTCATCCACCAGTTCATCCTCCTCTTTGATTTCGTTGGCTACCAACAGCTCGTCGATTCCCAACGGATCGTCTGCAGCTACCACTTGCTGAGCGGGTAGTTGTAACGACACCGAAGCCGGACCTTCGCCCAGAGTCAATTTTGCCTTTCGTCTGGTCAGGTATTTTTCAATTTTCGCACACCGCCTGCGGAAGCGACACACCTTTCTGAGCAGCTTCTGGCAGTCTGCGCACATATAGCACGGGAATTCAGGGTCATTCTGTAGCTGCAAGGATCCATTCATAAGTCGATTGCCTTTATTTACGTCGGTTTTTCTACTCACCCAACAATTTGCTATGGTTCGCACACAGAGCAGCAGCTGGCGACCCTCCCGCGAGAAGATCCGGAGGCTGTTTTCTGTGACTATTGTTTTGCCGCAAGTGCGGCAGAACTGATTCATTCTGTTCAATTAATTGGTTTGGAAATTATTTAAATTTGTTTCGTCCACGGGAAAATTTGCCCCACAAATCCAATAGATATGGCAGTGCTTCGATAAATCGCGACAGCTGATGGAGGTTCTAAAATTGAAATCGATGCTGTTATTGATGTCACTGTTTCACGAACTATCGATAGACAGCACGAAATGTGAGCATGCAGCCCTGTGCTGTTCGCCAGAGGGGTGGTAACTCTGGCGATTTCCGCCCTCCATCTTTCTGCATTGACTTTTCACGATGGTGAGTTCGCTGCTTCAGAATTTTGCGAAAATACTCGATTTTTAGTGTGAAAACGGCGGACAATTGAAAGAAAATCATGAATGAAGTGTTGCCCAAGTGCTGTGCCATGAAATTCTGCCTACCAATGGGCTGGAAAACGTGAAAAAATGGAGGAAAAACAGAAGCACGCCCTAACCTCGAAACAGGCGGCGATGCTCTAGGTGCTGCTGCTGGTGGCAACAAATGTCCACTTAAGTGAATTGTTTTGAGTGAACCCACATTAATGTGAATATCTCTTCTCGCCTCTTTTTCCGTGCAGCCGCCTAAGAAGGACGCAAAGTCGTCGGCCAAGCAGCCGCAAAAGACACAGAAGAAGAAGGAGGGCTCCGGCGGCGGCAAGGCCAAGAAGAAGAAGTGGTCCAAGGGCAAGGTTAGGGACAAGTTGAACAACCAGGTTCTGTTCGACAAGCCTACCTACGAGAAGCTGTACAAGGAGGTGCCCGCCTACAAGCTCATCACGCCCTCGGTTGTCTCTGAGCGTTTGAAGATCCGCGGATCTCTGGCCAAGCGTGCTCTCATCGAGCTGCGCGACAAGGGTATGTTATCTAAATGACAATTTCCAAACAAATCATTTACTAATGCTCAAACGTATTCTTTTCGGTTTCAGGTCTGATCAAGCAGGTCGTGCAACATCATTCCCAGGTGATCTACACACGTGCAACCAAGGGTGATGAAGCGTAAAATGTTTTACCAACGCATTTTTATAGTCGCATTCGTTTTACAATGAATTGGATTGTATGGGCGAGCACTAGGACTCTGCTGTGTGTAAAATGTTGAATAAACTTGCTTTCTTATTGATGTAAGGGACATTTGCTTGAGTTTATTGTTGTTTTGATAAGTGTTGGCACCAGCTGGTGTACACAATTGTGGGATCTAAAGTTGTTTGTATACTCTAGTTGCTGCTGTGAAGATAGCTTCCTTATATGACGTTGGCAGAATAATTATAGTTTTTAAATAAACTATGCATTGCTCAGTGCTTCTTCTTCGGCCATTGACATTCACTTTTAACGCTAGCACGTGTCAAGTGTGCGATCTGCACCTGTGACAAACGAAATATTATTTACTCATTATGATAATTATTATTCGGTTACATGAAGAATATATTTATAAATTTATAAAAAACATTTAAATTTAATACAGCTGTTGTTTATTTGTATTGTCATTCCCTGCGGCCGCGGACGTGGAAAGTTGTACCCAGCTGACATTTAGCTGGCTTGCAACTGTATCCATTCACAACGAACGCAGCTAATTTGTTTATGTGGGTTCCCCAATATTTGTGACAACACGGCAGACTGCTGGCCAACACTCATGAAAGTAATAAATCGGTTACATGTAGAATATATTTAGTAATGTGTACAAAACATTTAAATTGCATACAGCTGTTGTTTAATTGTTTTGTCATTCCCTGCGGCCGCTGACGTAGCAGACATTTAGATGGCTTGTATCCATTCACAACGAACGCAGCGATTAGTGGAGCGAATATGTTTATGTGGTTACCCCAATATTTGTGACAACACGGCAGATTTCTGGCCAACACAAATTTTCTCGTTTTTTGAAGATGAATTAAATTAAAGCCGCTTAGTTAAACATTAACTGCACGCAACAGTGTGCAACGGACAACCTGTGCAAATAAGACTACCGTCGGCCTGGTCGACGACGTAGCAGGAAGCGTTGTGCGTTGTGAGGTAATTTGCACAATAAAATAATTGCCGCCGACGCCGCAGACATACATTCTTTTGGGGGCCAGGCCAGAACAAGTGTTTGCAGCAGAAGTAGCTAGCCAGCCAGCTGGAGGAAGGCAACGGCTAAGCCACACCGATTATACCACGTATGCAAACAAATGACGGACCTGATAACAGCAGCGTAATGCGTATGTTTTATAGATTTCTCGTGTTTGGTGTCTTTGCAGATTTACACGTTTCCCAATTATGATACCGCTGTCGCACAAGGACCGCAGTAGCTTCGGCTACCGGGTCAAAGAACAGTTAAACAGCTGGAGGCGGCTCATTTTCTCAGATCGAAACTCGCGCAATTTGTTTCTGTTTCTGCTCCTCAACCTGAGTTTTGCCTTCGTCGAGCTTTTCTATGGCATTTTGACAAACAGCCTGGGTGTGTACCCCTCAAATTCAATTGGTGTTAATCTTATCCAGGCTTTACAATGCTCTCAATGTTTATCGCCTAGGTCTGATCTCTGACTCGTTTCACATGTTCTTCGATTGCACGGGTCTCTTGGCCGGTCTGGCTGCCTCGGTAATTACGAAGTGGAAGGCAAACGATAAGTTCTCCTATGGATATGTGCGTGCCGAAGTGTTGGCAGGATTCGTCAATAGCCTGTTCCTGCTATTCATCGCCTTCTTTATATTGTCCGAGGGTGTGGAACGGTTATTGGAGCCGCCCGAGGTGAAGCACGAGCGTCTCTTTGTGGTGTCCGTGCTGGGGCTCCTGGTAAACCTAGTCGGAATCTATGCGTTTAATCATGGCGGCCATGGGCACTCGCATGGGGGAGGTGGACACGGACACTCCCACGGCGGTGGCGCCAGCGTCGCCAATCACGGACACGGCCACTCCCATAGTCACAGCGACATTAACAATCACAATCATGAGGCCATCACCTTGGATAATGGTAAATCAGCCGCGAAAACGGTTCACTTTCAATTTCAGCTTCAAATTGTTGCTCTTCTTTCTAGGTCATGGCCACTCGCACGACCACGACAGTCACGGTCATTCCCACGGCGATATGGGCGGCAGCAATTCTCAGATTATGCGCGGCGTCTTCCTGCACATTCTGGCCGACACCCTCGGCTCTGTGGGTGTCATCATATCGGCTGTGTTGATGCAAATGTTCGGCTGGATGATAGCGGATCCAATTTGCTCTATTTTCATCTCCCTTCTGATTGCGCTTAGCGTACTGGGCCTGATTAAGGAGTCCATACTGATATTGATGCAGCGACAACCATCATCGTTGGACCGATCACTGCCGCAGTGCTATCAGAAGGTAACCGGCCTGGCCGGCGTATATGCCGTGCAGGAGCCGCACTTCTGGACGCTCTGCTCCGATGTCTATGTGGGCGCCCTTAAGCTGGAGGTGTCCAAGAATGTCGACCCTAAGTATGTGGTGACACATACGAGGATGATCTTCGAGTCTGTGGGCGTTAAACAGATCTACATACAGCTCGACTATGTATGATGCAGCGGAACATAATCTAGCCTTGTATATGTATATTTAACGGCGCGTGTTGTATGTTTGTGTAGTTCGACCGAGATGATAATGGATTTTTTTATCTAAATTTTAGTTTATTAGGCAATCTTGTCGGTGCCACCACCCACTAACCACGCCACACACCTTCCGAAACCCCTCCAAAAAAAAAAACCAACCATGTGTAATCTTAAATTTTACGAGTAATATTTGGCGAATTTTGTTAACTTATTTGTTGAGAAGCGATCGGCATTCATTCCATTTATACTGAAGCATTACAAAACGGAATGTTTGTGTGCAGTAGGGCAGCCGGTGCTGTCGTTTTCTAGAAGCATAGTGTAATTGTAATATAAGCGAAAGAACTTGTGCAAGAGTAAATCTATATAGTCTCTTTTTATAACCTTGTTTTTAAAATCTGAATGATCAAAAGCCAGAAGCATACATACCTACAAATAGTAACTAGTTTGACTGACATTTCCAAACACATTCCCCTATAAATTGGGGTCAACTAACTGTTCTTGTCACAGTTTGCAGCATCAAAATTATGAACGAAATAAAATATAATTTGTTATTAGCATTTTTATACGTAAACCGAATAGAATTGTTGTTTTAATGTTTCATATGGGGAGCTCTAAGACCCTCGGGCCCTAATCAAATCATTGTTCATTGGTAAGAACATGATTTTATGCCGAACAAGGTCAACACCATTCAAACTTATCTAAAAAATCACGTAATATTCAATAGATAAGATTTTAATTTTTCAGAAGAGTATCGTTTGTGTTTATCTACAGGTTTTGAGTTTGATTTATATTGCCATCTCAACGTTTAAACAATCAAATGTTATATTTTTTATGCACAAAATTCGTTAAAGATCTTTATTGAAATATATTTAAAAAACACATTACCATCAATTTAATTTCATTTTAATTTATTCCCATTTTCCATGAGAGCTGCCTTTCCAGGGAGTGCACACTGTACTTTTCTCTCACGCGACGGGCAACAGGTAGACACGTTTTACTCACGCACACACACACACACACCCATCCGAAGGGCATTTGTATGGGTTTGCCTCTACGCGCAGATAAAAATGAATACATTCATGCGAAAATTTTTAGAAATAATACATTTGGTTTGTTCAAAATGATAAGCGGCCCAGTGGCCATTGAGGTTAGGTCGAATGCAACGTGCGAAAGTAGGCCAAATTGCACTGCAACGTGCAAAAAATAGTAATCAATGCCAAATGGCACTGCGCATGACATGTGCTCGCCTGTGAGTGTGTCTGTACATCACTGTCAAGGGTCAATAACATGTCGGTTGGCCAAAAACTCCCAGCCGACCGGCGCGGCATGACTCAGATGGCGACAAACTCCCTCCCTTCATCCCCTCTCGATTTTGCGCTCGCTCACACCCATCAGGTAGATGCAGGCGGCGGCTGCGGCGTCTACCTACTCATAGCTGTAAATTTCCCGAAAATGAATCGACGCCGCCCATGAAAAGTACAGACATGCTAGTATTTACAGTTGTATATGGTTTCCGTTTAATTCAGTACTTATGTTCCATTTTTCGGTAATTTCTCTCGATCGATATCTGTTTGAAACATAAACGAAAATGCACACAAAATTGCGTTGTTGCTATCAAAATATTATTTTTACCATGTTATCAAATTACAATAGTTGTTTCAGTTGTTCTTATTTAGTTTTAGCTACTGTATTTTGGTTTTTGTTTCTCCCGGTTCGCATTTAGCTACAACCACAAATTTGCCTGCTCTTCTGCATTTAAACAATAAACATTGAAATGAAAATTATAGAAAATTTTGTTGTACTTAATAAATCAAATAAAATCGCATCGCTCGGTACAGGGGATTCGTCAGCAGTGTAACATAAATTTAGGACTTTCAAAATTGTAACTAATTATCGGATAAATATATAGAAGGTATGCATGAGTATGTTCCTCTGGTTGGGCTGGGCGGGGGGCCGGTGATGGTGCCCCATTCCTGTGTGTCTGCTGCATGGGGCGTTGCTTCTTTGTGGCCGTGGCTGAGGGCCTGAGGTTGGAGGTCTTCGATGGTCTCCCCATGCAGAAAAAAATCTAGACACGCACACTCAGAGCTTAGCACTTCTCCTCCTCGAGACCGTGCTTGAAGAACATGAGCACTGGAATGCTCTGGCCATCGATTTCGCGGTACTCGACCAGGGCGACCATGCCGTCGCAGTCCATAGACTCGCCGGTGAAGAACTGCAGCTCCTTGAAGCGGCCCAAGATGTCCTTCATGGCTTTGTTCATGTTGGTCTTGAACACATCGACCTGGTCGGGAGACTTCTCCGCCAGCTTGGCCAACACCTTCTTCATGTAGTCCTTCAGGTAGAGGGTGTACGATTTCTTGTCGCCGAATGCAAAGCATTCCACCAGACGATGATTCAGCACCACATCGACACCGGACTCAACGTTGGTATCTGTGCCTTCATCGGCCTCCTCGGCAGATGCATTGGCACCTTCGAGTTTAATTTCGCTGCCCTCACGGCTGATCAGCTTGCCATACACCTCGTAGACTACGTCATCGACCAGCTTGATTTTGTAGGTGTCGGCGAACATCTCGTCCCCGGTGATGATATCCTTGAAGATTTTCATGATTGCTGGTGTTAGATTGGCGAAAAGATGGCGTTTAAACTCCTTGCAAATCTGCTATTATAACTGCACCGAACCGGGACCGCGGGAACAACGTGCCACGCGCTATTTCGAGCAAAAAGAAAGAAAATGGCGAACAGTGTGACCGTGGACTTATGGAACTTAGTCCACTTAGCCCCCTTAATTTAATAATGGTAAATCTTGAGCTTGACACAGCGGAAAATAATTGTGTTTGTTTACTATTCTATATTATAAATCTTCTGTACTTATATAAAAAAACAATGATATTATTCAGACAGTTTTCGTGGGTGGTTGTTCGATACCCACTGGTCTATAATGGGTTAATCATAATCCATCCCTGATTGCAAATCATATTGCTCGATTTTGATATTCGGTCTAGTATTACTAGCTAGATAGATCTCTCAGCCCTGCCCACATAATTTAATCCAGTTAATGAACTTATTTTCTACTTGACTGGTTTATTTTAAATACTTGCTTTTATTGGATTTTGCCTAAAAAAGATTTTAGCGTAAATGGTCAAACAAAAAAAACGTAAGAAAGCAATCGTTGCTATTGTTCAATTTTGATATTCCGTTGAATAATGCTGACTAACTGATAATGCTCCTCAGCCCTCCCCACATAATTTTATCCGTTCGATGAATCACTTTTCTACAAGACTAGATAATTTTAGTACTCCCTTTTATTTGATAGTGTCCTAAATAAGGGTTAAACATAGAGGAAAAACGTAATATCGGTATTTTTGTGCGATAAGCGAGTCGATGGTAATTTTCAGCTTCTGGTATACGGTCATACATACAATTAGAGAAAAACACTGAAATGTACGTAATTTTCGCAATTTTATACATTAAAACTAATTAAAACGTTATCCTTAGGTATGCACTCTCCAGCACTCTTATTCGATCGCCGGCCTTGCGCCAAGGCCTTAAGATGGCCGCTGTCAATCGCCAGGCATCGATGAAAGTTGTCTCCGTCGGCTCAACCATTAAGGATGAGACCTACTTCGAGAAGAACGCACGCCTGGGACGCGAGTTGTCGCCCCATTTGTCCATTTACCAGCCCCAGCTGACCTCCATACTGTCGGTCATGCACCGCGGCACTGGCATGGCTCTGGGCGTTGGCGTTTGGGCCTTGGGTTTAGGCGCTCTGATTTCGTCTCACGACATTAGCCATTATGTGACAATGGTGGAGGGACTCCAACTGAGCGGCGCCACATTGACGGCCCTCAAGTTCATCATCGCCTATCCGGCGGGATATCACACAGCGAACGGCATTCGCCATCTCTTCTGGGACACGGGTCGTTTCCTCAAGATCAAGGAAGTGTACTCCACTGGTTATGCAATGGTGGCTGCCTCGTTTGTGCTAACTGCTATACTGGCCCTCATCTAGACGGATGGATGGATGGGATGTCTTTCTCCAGGACATTTGGTGCGGGTGTGCAAGTTAAATATTAGTGTGAATATCGTGTTATAATTCATTGAATGCATTGAATACATGTAAAGTATATTTATTATGCCCAGTTTTGTTCTGTTGCGTAACAGTGGCTTCTCAGTGGCTACGCGGACTGCGCCGCATTTGATAATTTCCGGCTGCAATTTTCGCCAAATGGCGTGTTTTTGTGATGGCTTTAGACGGTTTTTTCTAGGGGCTCGATTTGCGAATTCAATAGGCGTTTAATCTACTATGCCAGCTGTGGAATTCGCGATTAGCTGCGATAGGTTGTTGATCGATTGCACTCATATTAATCGGATTCAAACTGGCCTAATCAGAGGGTGATCTTACTTACTTTTTACTAACATCCTGTAGATATCCTCATTTTTTAAGATTCCATATATATAACAGACTTAAATTGAACTAAAATAGATCTAAAATATTATACAGCTGTCAGAACAAGAACAGATCTAGAAGAAGAACGAAAGCTGCGACCTTTTTTTTTTATTAATAATAGCATATAAACCCATTTTTTGTTGACTTTCTTCCAACTTAATTAATTTATTTATTGTGAATTTTTGATTATTTCTTGTAAAAAGCTGCAAACTGTCGTCGTGCAACACTCGTGTATGTGTACGAGTTATGAGGCTAAAATGTATCTAACAACTAATATCACAATCGATGTAATGTAATTGAAACTTGTCATCTGGTGAATTTGCGGATGCTTTGTGGCGGCTTGGCTATTGTATGTTGCCATGTTTGCTGCCCTCCCCCTCGCTGTCACTCGCCTTGTCCGCCTGATCCCCCGAGCCAGAGGTCGGTGGTGGGCCATCGAGCAGCTCAAAGTCACAGACCAAAGAGAAATGATCCGATGGATACCGATAGCTGGGCGTGCGATTTTTGCCAATCTCTTCGCCTGCCGGAAATTCCAGACAGTTTTTGATCTGCAATTGGATGGGAACAGCGATTAGAAAATGTCTTTATAACCTTTTAATGCGGTCCCACCTTGAGGTGATCGGGTGTATAGAAGACATAGTCAATGGTGTGACACTCTTCGCCCTCCTCGCGTATCTTCCAGGTGGTGTAGGGCGGCTCACGCTTGATCGACTGCGAGACAAACTCATTGACATCCTCGCTGTGCTGTAGGATCTGCTCTCGCTCCAGCTTAACATCCGCGTAGGCGCTGCCTAGCTTGAACAGATCGCAGCCGAGTATCGTGGCATATATGGGCTCGATGGGCTCCGCATTGAAGTCCCCACACAGCAGCAGAGGCGTCTCGCCAGCAAACTGTTTAACGAATCGCATCAGATCTCGTCCCTGCTC